TCTACATTTTCCCCGATGATCGAATGTACAGACACCACAAAGACTTTTTTAGTTATACTATTTGATTTAATGAAAAGTATTTTCGAGTACGTGAATGGCTCGACTTCAGTAATTTGAATAATTCCAATTATAATATAAACACAAATAACCGAAATACCTACTGGCAATAATTATCAATCGTAAAAAAAACTGTATACTGTGTACGTTTACGGTGCTATGGGTACAAATGTTGACTGATACGTCATACAGACTTTAGTAGTCTTGGTTAATTTGTCAAGATTATACTATATAAATACTTTTTTGTTTGTTAGCTTTTCTTTGTTGCTAGCATATTAAAAAACATGATGAAAAGAATAACAAAATTTAGCGTAGCATTAAAGTACAGGAAATGGGTTGTATACTTTGTAAACCCTATCTACTTTGTTCTATATTCAGTAGTTTATACTAAAATGCAAACCTAAACAGTCACCGCCGGTAAACAACGGACTATAATATAATGTCACGTTATTTTATGACTACATTTTGTGGGTACCATAGGAGTACAAGCACAACAAGATTTTAATCTAAGAAAAACACGAACAGCTTGATGCTGAATATAGCCACCTGCTGACGACACTTCCTCTTTGTATTTAATTATTTATTGTTATTAATATACCCAGTCTCTGCATCGTTTACGTTTGAGAGGTGTCTTGGAGCTAAGATATGATTTTAAGAGAATGTAATAATTTTAAGTTTTAAAAAAACCTACACATGTCTGCGCAATAGTTTACATTGCATTAGTCACTGTGGAAAAATACAAGAGTTAAATTTATGATTTTTTTATTTCCCAAAATGGCACCGAAATATTTAAATTAATAATTTTAGTAGTCACAACAATAATAATTGCAGTAGTATTAAAAACTATAATATCCCAGCTGCGTGTCATATTATAATTAAACTAAATTTCGTGTAGTTACGGTATACCACGTTTTCTTCTGTTTGTCTTCAATCATACTTACTAATATTTATTTGAAACTTTATTAATGAGTGTTATTTATAAAAAAAAAGTCACTATAAAATGGCGTTCAATAAAAGCGTATCGATTATTATGTAGTAATTTTGCGTATTTTAACTGGCAGCATGTTTTGTAATATATTTTTATTAAAAATCTATTAAATATTTTCAAAATTTAAATGGATTCTAAACAAGTAGTAGTGTTTTGTTTAATGATTTGTTTTTCAATACAAACATGTTCTGGAATCCAGGACTGGGAGGTAATCAATATTTATTTACTATCACAAGATAGTAGCGCAACATGTAGGTACATGTTATACCAAATATAGTTCGTAATAGATCAGTAATGCCTAAGGGGGATTATTTTGGTCATTGTGATATGAATATAACATATATGTTTCTTTGGATATAAGATTTTTTTTAAATTAACATTTGATATCAACAGTTATTAATCAGCACAAATTTGATGTATTTATTAACAATTCAATCAAATTAAGATTTTTAAACGGTAATTTGCATAGGTATTGTCTTAGCTTATTAGATTAAGAATAATTTGCTGCAAATCTCGACTGATCGATTTGCAATTTTGCACAGTTACTTGTAAATGTATACAAATTAAACATTTTGGACGGGAGGTTGCACCTTAACATACAACTATAACCTTGAAAGGTAATGGGGTTAAATTGTTGAAAAAATATAAAATTTAGGCCACCTAACTAAGTATGAAAAAGTATTACAAACATTACATTTTAACTCTTAAAAACTTGTCTGTTTAAATGAAAACACTAGTTTTGACAAATGTTTTTTTTAAAAATTTAGAATGAAAGGTTAACAAAAATCTACAAACAAAATATATGTGTTTGTATATTTTTTAATTATGTATGATATAATTCGGCAAAAAAAAATTGCATTAAAATAAAAACATATTCGATGCTATTAATTTTAAAATTACTACTATACTCCGTTATTTAAGTGAGTACATCCAATTTTGGAGAAAAATATTTGAGTAGAAAATGGAATTTGTTATTTATTTGATAAAAATTAGAGTGGAATATTTTTAAATAATAAACAATAACAACTTGCATAGTTGACTGTAATTATGTACCTATTGGTAATGGTAAAACTCACTTGATTACTCAACTACTCTATGAGTTGAGTTATAGGTAGTTAAGTATTTAGTTATCATCTTTACGTGTGTTTAAGCCATGCCATTTAATACTGTTTAAATGTATACAATTTTATAAATAAAACAAATTGTTTTTAATTTAAATACCGATTATAATGATGGTAACATTTTAGAAAATGAACACATGGAGAATGCTTCTAAGAATCCTTCGTTCTACTACAAACACAATAATCCCAGCACAGTTTTTAGAATTTGCAGGTCGAGAGTATAATGGTAAGTAGTCACGTTAATTGTCTGAATGTGAGAGCAAAATAAGGTTATTAACTATAATTACACCCAACAATGCATTTTGTGATATTTAATATATTCTGTTTAAGTGTCATACTTTTCGTTTGTTGCTACTTATACTGCAAGTTGAATTATAAGTAATATTAATTATTCTTACATAAAGTTTATACACACTTATATCTAAATGTGTAATCAATGAAGCTTAAAAATTTACTTTTATATATTTATGTGGTATAAGAATAAATTGTTTTAATTAAAATACTAGTAAAAAGATAAATGCCATTCTAGAAATATGCAATGTGGATTTATACATATGCTAATATGAAAATTTGTAATTAATCATTGATTTTGATTTGTGTTTACAATATAATATGCAACAATATTTGTGGTATATATTGTACTTAATCATTGAAATATTTCTAACGTTTTTTTTTTTTTAGGAAATAAACAAGTACTTAACTATGAGGATTTCTGTGAGGCATTTTGGGGAGCGAACACAGGTCCAGTGACTGTCGAAAACCCAGATGGCTGTGTCACACATAAAGAATATTAGTGTAATAATGTAACAGTCAGATATATTATTATGTATTATAAAATATATTCCACAATATTACCAGCATAACTTGTGCTCATCGTCACCGTCACTGTGTGACCAACAAAATATTATTATTATATTGTATTTTTATACAATCAAATTAAATTCAATATAAAGTAATAATTATAAAATGTTTAATTCAGTACGATTCTCAATAGAGTAAATATGAATGTGAATGTACTAACTAAATAGATATTTGTTTTAGTTATTGTAGGATATTGTATTATTATAGGTTTCTACGGTGCAAGACCAAAAATTGTTCAAACGTTTATATAAATACACAAACGACAAAACAAAAATAGTTTAAAAAGAACCACTTGTATACAAATGATAAATACATTCAGGTTATATTTTGTCATTTGTTTGAATTGCAACAGTCGTTATGGAAAAATACTATATTTAATGGAAAAAAAATGTAAGGCTGACTTCGTATTAAAAAAGTACTACCGTCAACTCTTAATAATTCAAACCTTTAATAGCTTAAATTTTGGGTAATTTGGAAAAACAGATTGGTCCCTTGAAAACCTTTTGGTAATTCAAAGGAATACATTGCAATTTGGTACACTCGATAACTCAAAGTAAAATCTAGGATGTACCACTCAACGACATGTGACGAATGAAGTTCCTTCCATCTATTCAATTTTTGATAACTCAAAGTTGTTTCATTGTGATAAAGCATTCACAGTGTATGAGTGTTTTTAATTTATATTTACAAGTGATATTATTTCATATAGTTCATCATAGTATAGATCCCCTACATCTTGTAACTTTGAAGAAAGAAAGTTCATCGTCAGACAAATTACAAAAGTTTTCTCTATAGTCATAGGTTGGCGTCGAGGTTTTTGAAGTTATAATTAGTATTGTAAAAAGTATATACCAAGCTAAACAAAATTTGATTCAGCAGAAAAGAATTACAGGTTTGTTTAACATTGATCGACTGTATTGTTTTCTTACAGACAAAAAATTGTAATATAATTAAATTTATTTTATAATAAGAATGACTGTATTATTTCCACTATAAAAATGATTACATTTCAGTTACTCAAACTTTAGATAATTCAAACTTTTTTGTCGGTCGCTCCAAATATGAATTATCAAGGGTCGACTGTATTACAGGCTTTTAATTGAATGGGTGAATGGATAAAGGTGTTAACTGATATTTTTTGTAAAATAGTTTTTAGTTTGAACGAATGAAAATGTTAAGATATATATTACACGGTTTAGCAAAATATTATAACAGTTGAATGTGTGTTGAGCTTAAAAATTAAAAAAAGTTCCAAGCATTTGAATGTAATGTAATATATTGACTAAAACGTTGCCTCATGAACAGTTTTCAAGTTGTCAGTTAACACATATATCCACTTACCTCTGCAATTATAGTCTAGCTTGGGTAAAAAAACCCAAGCAACAAAAAAGTTTCACTAATTACTTCTAACGACTAACAAACAAATCGAAGCCTACATTAAATTTTATAGTTTTAAATAATAATTATTAATTAAATATTAAAAATTTGAAAAAAATTATTGATATCAGTAAATTGCACAAAACGCGATTATGCTTGTGTGACAAGTTCCATGATAAGATACAATCGTCGGCGTAGGGGGTTGTGGGTCATAAACTTAGAGCGTCTTTGATTCTTGATTAGCTATTAATTTTCTTATCAAAACATCTCCTACCATATTATAATACCGTGGTTACGTTATATTAAACCATAAAATGACTCCACTACACCTTTTCAACTTTTAATTTACCCAAAACTATTCAAGAACGTTGTCATATATTTTGCTTTTGTCCTTTTTTACAATAGCTGCTGGTAATAATTTCAGAGGCGATTGCCAATAGTTATTGTAACAAGTATACAATTTTTTTATATATATATATATATATATTACTAAATAATAATAATTATTGCTCACATTTTCGGTGGTTGAAAATCTACAAACTAGAGAACGCTGCTTCACGCCTGAAACAGCGGTACACGTGAGACGCGCTTATCACATATTATATAATATTATTATCGTTTTGTCTTCAACAAATGGGTGAAAACTCATTAATAACAGTTTTTTTTGCCTTTTTTAACGAGGTATCCTTAGGGCTTTGCTAATATTCGTTCAATATTAATCTCAATTTCAGGCTACATCGCACAAACGGTTTTTACTGTAGAATTACTCGTGCGATAGTATAGGTTGTTTTCGATAAATGAATTCGCATTCGTTTTTCCAAAGGCTGCCGAATATTTATTGATAAAAAATTGTCTCTACAAAAGCTACTACTACTACTAGTTACTATTGAAACGTTGTTGGAGGCAAATTTCGTTTCTATCTCATATTTAAAAACAATGGTCTTGTTATACACTAGCACCGGTAAGTATAATAATTTAATCGAAGACTATAACATCCGATATGGCATCAAATATTTCTTTCGTTTTACACAGTGGTCGATCCGCCTGTCACGCTTATTCGAGGTGCCGACAGCAATGAAAGTGAGTATTGGATTATTAGTGGCGCTATTTCTTATCAAATTTATGTGTTTAATTGTCTAAGAAAAATTAATCAACATTGTATTTCGTGAATTCCTCAGACGACGAGTTGATTGACAATATGTTGCCCGAAGACGTATGGTTCCATGTAGAGGACTTGTCTTCAGCTCACGTTTACTTACGATTAAAAGAGGTAAAGACACATCGACATGTGTGATAAGCAAATTTTCTTTAAAACAAATGTATAAATATCGAGTTAAATTAATAACGACACTAATAACCATTTCAAATTTAAAGGAACTTCTGTTCGAGTTTGTTGTAAAATACAAAACATGAGATCGGCTGTGCCGGAACTGTTATTTTTTTTTAATTTAATAAACATTAATTTGAAAATAATAAGAAAATTCAAATTTTTTTCTAATAATATTTGATATTTGAATTTGATCAAATAATAATTTCAAATTATTATTTGCATATTCATTTTAATTAAAATAAAAATATATTTTAACAGTTATTGTTTTAATATTATGTGTTATACTCAATTTATCAAATTATTTTAAGAGGGCGTCGCACTGCCCATTTTTAAGGAGTAAAGTATAGGCAATTTTTTACAAAATCTTAATTTAAAGGTTAAACTGTTATGTGTAATTATTAGTTCAATAACTAGGACTCTATTTTGGTAGTTAATTTATTTTTTGGACTATCACAGCATCCTTGAAAGCGATTTAAAAATGTTTTTTCATCTCAACTTGTTTAAGCAGACTGAAAATAACTCGCTTAATTTAGGATTCAGAGTAAAAGCACCCATGATAAAATTAAAAGAGAACAATATTTCGTAAGGCAAGACGGTGCGTTTTTTTTTTTGAAGTATAACGCTCAATTCATAGTTTAGAAATAACGACTATTTTAACATTTTTAAATGACTATAACTTTTCAAAAAATGAATTTTTATCCTCCGGAATATTGTTTTCTTTTAATTTTATAATGGTGCTTTTACTGTAAAACCAAAACTAAGCGAGTTATTTTCAGTCTGCTTAAAAATATTTTTACCACTGAAAATCACCGGTGCGACGCGCTCTTAAGGGTGTATTTAAAAAGAAAAAAATGGGTAAACACATAATTGATGTAATTTTTTCTTGTTTTTTTTTTTTTTTTTAATATGATGTTTGATCTCAAGTGAAATATTCAAATATTAGAATCTAGTTGGCAAAAACAAACATTTCAATTTGTGCATAACAAATCACAGTGTAGGACATAAACAAAATCTAAAGTGCATAATAGTAATATTTAAAATACTTTTTTTATAGAAACAAACTCTCGACGATATTCCTGAAAAGTTATTAGAAGACGCTTGTCAGTTAGTGAAAGCAAACAGTATAAAAGGATGTAAAATGAACGAAGTGGTCGTTATTTACACAATGTGGTCGAATTTAAAAAAAATATCTGGAATGAAATCTGGAGAAGTGTCGTTTAACAATCCTAGTGCCGTAAAAAGATAAAAGCAATTTTTTTTTTTACAAAACCAATAATAATATTTATCGTTTTAGGTCAGAAAGAAGACTACTAAAAAGGACAAGGCTATAGTAAATAGGCTTAGTAAAACGGAAAAGAGCGGCGTGAAAATGGACTACGAAGGCGATAGAGAGGCGAGAGAACGTCGAGAGATCGATAGGAAAAAAGCAGAAAATAAAATTCAACTGGAAAATAAACGCGCCGAAGAAAAACGTAACCGTGAAGCGTCCGAACTAAGGTGACTATTTGATAAGATAATTTCATAACTAGAAAAGTAATAATATTAGGTTTATTTTGTGTACCATAAACTTTGGATTGAAAATTAATCTGAACACATGAAAAATTAAAACTAATAATTTTCCAATTTTTTTTTTGTATTAAATGAAGGTTTTGTATATAACTTAACTTTAGTGGTAAGTTTAACCTACTAAAATGTATGATTTTAACTTATAAATAAATACATTGATGAAGAAAAAAAGAATTTGAAAAACTATCCTTTTAGTGTAAGCCATATGTAATATCATCGACTCTTCAAAAAACTAATAAATTCAAATTTTATATTTTAAAAAAATGAGACATCATTGTTATTGGCTTAAAGTAGTTGAATTTTTTAACAAAATAAATAACAATATAAAATAATTATTTCCCTTTAATTCTATTTAGTAAGTCTGAGAAAATTGTTTTTATTTTAGCTTTCTGAAAATCATCAATTATATTTTATACTTTGCAATTTTCATAAATTAACGATTTGTTAATTAACGTTTAAAAGTTTTTTTTAGGCCAGCTAAGAATCATAATAATTGTAATAGATATATAAATTACACTGGTATTGATTTTTTTTTTTTCGTTTACAGGTCTTATACGTCTTTAATGAAGAGCGAAAATATGACGGCAAACACGGATTATTCGGGCTACGATTCCGACGATTTCATGTGATGTTATATTGTTAAGATAATATTATTTCAAGTCTATTAAAGGCAATTACTACGTATGCTCTCATTCTGTCCATTTGTGTTTTTTAGTTTATCAATTTACAGACAACGTGGTCCACTTAAGGCCCCTGGATACCGACCGTTTTGTTCAGCCAAAACACAACTTTTTTTGTCCATCGCACAGGTCTAACCAGTGATCCGATTAGCAATCTAAAAACAGATATGAATTTTTTATGAAGTTTACTTGAGATCGGTCAGAGCGTTTTTTTCAATTTTTAATTTTAACCCTTTCCAAATTTGAATTTGAATTTTGAAATTTTATAAAATGTTCAAACGTGTTTTATGCGTAGTAGGAATAAGATATCAAAAAAGTACGCTGACCGATCTCAAGTAAACTTCATGACAAATTCAAATCTGTTTTTAGATTACTTATCGGATCACTGGTTCAGCCTGTGCGATGGACAAAAAATGTACTATTTTATTAACTAAAATGGCTTTTACTCATAGACAAAATAATTTAAATTAAAAATAATATCATGATGCCTTTAAAAATTAACCGGTAAATTAATTGGCATGGTCGAAATGTATTAATTTTTTCTTAAATATTGCCTATACAAAACTCCTTAAAAATGGTCGGTATCCAGAGGCTTTAACATCGATAGTTAATCGTTTTGGGTTTTTCGTTTAAAGGGATCGCAGTGTATGAAATATAATATATTTTCTTATCTACTGCTGTACGTTGTTTCGGGGTTAACGGCTTATGTCGGCTAGTATATTCTTTTGGCATTCTTTATAAAAATAATCCACGCAGGGTCAGATCATGTTTTTTTGAATATAACTCTACGAATTATACGTCTGAAAATTATGCTTCTATTTTATTTACTTTTTTTGATAAATTGCTAGTAAGTAACGAATTGGTTAATAATATACTTTTGTACATTTGGAACGTTTTTAATAATTTTTACATGTATAAAATGTATTACATTATACAATATAGTCAACTGATCAGAATATGTAAACTAGAAAAATCAAAGTACTTATAGTTTTATAATATTTGACGAATAAATCACATAAAAATTGTCAAACTAAAAATGTCTAACGTTTATCAACGGCTTAAATGTTTTTGCAGGTAAACGAAAAATGTAATGTTAATCACTTTCACATTAATTAGGTCTGATAAATATAAATAACATATACTTTTTCTTTGTGTAAAATGACTTTGTTCCTCTTAAAATAAAAGCTAATGTAATACAAAAGCTTTAGATAATTAAAAAAACAGGAAGTAGCACAGAATATATTTTTTTCTCTTCCACTACTAAGTTTGAACTATATTTTTGTAAAATTATAAATAATTGATTCAAAAAAAGTATTTTTTAGTAACACTACTCATATATTGGTATAATTATGTAAATTATGAATAGCATAATAATTGTTGCCAAAAATTGCCTAGACTATAATACTTTCAAAAAGTTAAACTGTGGTCTATTTATTCGTACTATGTAAAAGAATTTTTTTGTTTTGTAAATCATAATTCAGAAATAAGTTTGTTTTAAATATAACACAAATATTCATCATAATTGTACATTTTAAAAAAGTTATTAGGTTAATGCCTAATATACTCAGTTTTTTAATTTTATAATTGTAAACTACTGACAAGATCATAATAGAGACAAGTAAAAAATAATTTTTACAAAAAAAAACCATCATTTTTGGTAAAATATAAAAACTTATTGAAGAGATATTCGTAACACTATTTTTGTTTCTATAAGTACAATTTTTAAAATAATTATGACTTTTAAATGTCAAAAAAGGTGTTACATTGTATAGAAATAAAAAAAAAAGAGAATTTAACCCACCAGCAACAAAATATAATTTGTAGAAAACATTTTACAAGTATATATTTTAATTAGTAACTTTTAAGAAAAAAAAGGTTTTTAATTAAAAAAATCGATTGCTTTTCTTTAACAACAATATACATAATAATTATTCAAATGTTCATACCAAATATAACTTCACTAGCATACTAAATTAATTTGATTCCAATTAGTTAAAACGAATTAAATATTGATACATAATTTCAATATGATGCAGCTGTTAAATATAGTTTATTTTAATTATATTGTCTGAAAATGTATTATTATGACTACAAATAAATACAAACATCTCGTTTGTACAACTTAAAAAAAAATATACTAAGTTATAAGTGTATTTTCTCAAAAAAAAAAAAAAAAATAGTATATTTATATATTTTGTAGAAGCTATCTATAATTGTAAAACATTTTAATGATAAGAATACTTCTTAGTATATTGTACAACTGCTATCTACCGCAAAATATATAATAGAACAGAAAAAAATATAAATTTCAAAATAAATTCTTACCTAATAATTTGATTGTTTTTATTATTTTAAATATACCATAACTAATAAAAATTAAATATTTAATATACAATATAATTTGATACAAATAGCTATTATGCTTTCGATAACAATATAATTTGGTAGCTCATAGTTTAAATTGTTTTAATATCATATGAAAATAATTTAGTTTTCCAAATTTATTGCACGACACTTGTCATTAAAAATTGCTGTTCTTCTTGTTATGTTTTCTTTTAATTCGTTATAACTTGATTTATGAACATTGTGTTTTTAATTTAAAATTTAAATGTATCGAGCAGCCGTCAATTCAACTACATCCATAAAATGCAAAAGTATCTTATATTCGAACGGCAAGCCGACGTCTTTCAAGTTGTTTAAATATTCTGTGAACTTAGTAATGACTCTTAGATAACGTTATATATAAGAACTTTGGTGCTCTCAGGGTCGTTCTATTGCCTTTTTTCAATCGACATTGGCTTCGGTTATTTGTCCAAACAATAATTTGATTTTTTGTTTTGAGAACAAACAAGAATTTATTGCTTGTCTGTGTTTTACTTTTATTACATCCCATTCGAAACCAAGTCAGACTCTATTGTAGTCTTAGGAAGATATTTTTCAGCGATACAATTGTCGATGAAATCTGAAACTCCACTCTGCAGTTGGTCTTCTTCGAACGGGTTTTCGTGGATTAAATGTTTGTTGTATTCGTATTGGCTGATTGCAAACATTTTCAAATAATAAATCCAAAGCCATTTGCCCGTCTCCAAATCTGACATCAGCAATAAGTGAAGTATAATTTTGGCTTCCTCTTCAAGACGGTTTACATAGTCCTCGTTATTGCCGAAAGGCTCTCCGCTTTTTAAATTTTCAACCAAATTCTTCATGTTTGAAATGTTTGATTTTGTAATGACACAAAAACTACATTTAATATCTTGAGCTCTTTTCTCTAGTTTTTCTCGGCTTTTTAATTTTAAATGGCAATCATTAATATTGTCACATTCCTGTATTGATAAAATTGTCTGTTCAGCAGGTTTAATATGAATTGGACGTTTTTTGAATGTTTTAAATTTGTTCAAAGTACGTACATAGTCTTGGCTGAATACTTGATTGAAAAATCGTACAGGAACAATCCAAAATTATATTTTTATTATTATAGAATAGTAGGCAAGTCTAAAAATATAGTAACCTATGATACAGATAAATATAGTATTTATTGTTTAATGTATTATTCTGACTACACATTAATAGAAAAATCTTGTTTGTATAAATATAATATCCAATACAAATGATATATATATATATATATTGTACTCGGGGCAATACTAGAGCTTAAAGCTAACCTCAGAGAAATAATTGTGATCTTATTGCCTTTTCTTGAGCTTTGTATTGTGAAATAATATATAAGATACCTAGTCGTTTATCATTTAATTAAAAAATGCATGTGCCATGGAGGCTTGCAAATATATTACACCTAAGTTGTACAGAAGCTTTACATTACTATTAAACATCTTCCAATTGGAAATAATTTGTATTTTATAAACACTTGTCCATAATAATTACAGCTAAGAAAAAATATAGCTCAAAATAAATGCTTACCTGATTACCTGCTGATTCGATTGTTCTTTTATTTGACGTTATAACAATACACCATAACAAACATGCGCAAATTTTGATAATCATTGTTATTTTTTAAATTTTTTTAATAAAACTTTAGTAAAACAAAGGTATTTTGTATGACTTGGTGGTAAATACTAACCTATATACTCGCAGGACGTTATACACTAGCTTAAGGGTATCATGTGTTAAATTGTAAAAAAGCATAAGCAAATCATTTCATATTTTAGTTTTATTCGACCACACTTGTTCAAACAAATTATATTTTTCGGTTTGTCAACGTATAGTATATAACGTATTTTTTACTAAAACACCACTAGGAAACAGTGATAATTATTTATTATTATAAAAATTAACATTATACTAACCATCTGAACTGCATTCGTATCAATATGATTATCATTGAAAATATCATTTGCTATTACTTGAAATTCACACAAAGAAAAAGACGTTTTTTTAATGTATACATTTTTAATTAAAATAAATAAAAAATACATAACTATAAATTCCATAGCTCAATAATAATTTTATTTCCATCAATATTTTTTAGGTGGCAAATGTTTAATACTCTGGATCCCATAATGCTGTTGTTCTTTTTGAGAATACTCAACTGCTGTTGACCCAAACATACTTAACATAATATAAAACTGTAACTGGAATGCAATTTAATTGCCAGAATACGTTCTTATTGACAAATAGTATAAATTGATGGTTAACATATTAACATATTATAGGTTAATTGCCGAAACTAGGATGCATGTCTTTCGCAAGTATTATACTTATTATATCATATAATTTAAAAACAATAATATGTTCTTAAGCTTTATTGAGATTCTATACTCTGTAAGGCTAAAAAAAGCTATCTGATAGATTGTACATAGGTATTTTGTTGAACTCCAGAAATTCACATACATACAATTCGTCATTCACTTGTCATTAAAAATGCCATTTCTAAATCAAGGGGCAAAATTTCATTATATATCTTTGTTTTTGCCCACAATAATAATATAAACCTGACAACGTAACTAATGTAAGTTTTGTAGGTAATATGATCAAAATCGTTATTTACAAAACATCAAAAGCTCTCATAAATCTAATTCTAGTCATTTTTGGTCTTTAATGTATTATTGTAAATTGTAGATTATAATTTGGTCTTCCCAACATCCTGTCTCTTAACCAAGAAAAAGTTGGCGATATAACCTATTTATCAGTTATTTTGCAAATCTACTTATAGTAAAGTGAATATATCCGTTTATCTATAATTCTTAAATAACATTTTCATATTTAACTATATTTTTCAAATTTATTCGGCGGCAATGGCCAAAAAAAAAAATAGATTATACTATATGTATTTTAACTTGTTGATTTATTAACACATAGTGCTAATATTGTTTTTATTATTCTAAATATACTATAACTAATAAAATGAAATATTTTATGTACGATATAATTGATACAAATGTATTATGCTTCGATAGCATTATACGCTAGTTCTATGTATTAATTATATCATATTTTATTAAAATTATATGTAAATAATTTCCACTTTAAATTTATCCGACGATACTTGTCACGAAAAAATTGCAATTCTTTTTGATATCTTTTTCTTTTGTTTTGTTATAACTTGGTTCATGAACATTGTGATATTAATTTAAAATTTAAATATATTGACTAGCCGACGACCTAATTACATCCACAAAATGCAGAAGCACTCTATATTCGGACGGCAAGCAGAAGAAAGTTAACTCGTTTAAATAGTCTTTGAAATTCTTAATGATTCTTAGAATCGAATCACTGGAAGACAGTTGGTTTTCGTTAATGTTGAAACCGAGAAAATCGACTTCGATTGTACTAGCACCGTTTAAATCTTTTAGGATCTCATTGGCCTTCGCCCTGACTCTTGCCAAAATGTCTCTTATGTCATCGATGTCGCTTATTTTTGCAAACTTGAATTCTGATGAAATAACGACGAGAAATTCGTCTTTGTACGCGGTTACACCTAATACGTGTTTGATAACGTTGACTATACGATTTTTGATAGATTTTAGTGTCAGTTCGTCGAGTGCTCGCATGGATATTTGTTTTTCATAAATATACAGTACAACCGAAAGGTGACAATAAAATCTGGCATCAAGAATAGCGATCAACAAGTGCTGGTGGTCGAGGCGACCGTACGGTTTGTACATCCAAGTGCGGTTTTCCACAAATTCTCTGCTAATAGCCACCTCGAGCCCAAATCGTTGTTTCGCATAACTCCAGTCGACATTGGCTTCGGTGATTTGTCTGAACAATAATTGATTTTCATCTTCCCAAAATGGTTTTAGGTATAAAAATTTTACAAACACCAAAACACGGCCGCCTAAAACATTTGAAACCCATCCGGATACGCGTAGTTTGCGGAACATATTTTTGTATACCTCTGGCTTTTTCGAAACCAAATCAGACTCTATTGTATTCTTAGGAAGATATTTTTCAGCGATACAATTGTCGATGAAATCGGAAACTCCACTTTGCAGTTGGTCGTCTTCGAATGGGTTTTCGTTGATTAAATGTTTGTTGTATTCGTATTGGCTGATTGCAAACATTTTCAAATAATAAATCCAAAGCCATTTGCCCGTCTCCAAATCTGACATCAGTAATAAGTGAAGTATAATTTTGGCTTCCTCTTCAAGACGATTTACATAGTCCTCGTTATTGCCGAAAGGCTCTCCGCTTTTTAAATTTTCAACCAAATTCTTCATGTTTGAAATGTTTGATTTTGTAATGACACAAAAACTACATTTAATATCTTGAGCTCTTTTCTCTAGTTTATCTCGGCTTTTTAATTTTAAATGGTAATCATTAATATTGTCACAAGCATGTGTTGACAGATTTATCTGTTCAGCAGGTTTAATATAAGTTGGACGTTTGTTGAATGTTTTCAAATCATTTACGGTTTGTACATAGTCTTCACTGGACGTTCGAGTGTAAAATCGTACAGGAACAATCTAAAAATAATATGCATTTTTATTATTATTGAAAAACAAGTCTAAAATTATTATAATAGTCCATGAAATACTTTGCTTCAAAATTAATTATAGCTGTTAAATATAGTATATAGTTTTGATTATATGACTGAATATGTATTATTTTGTCTATACGTTAATAGAAATTTTTAATTTATACAGAAAAATCACATAATATTATACTTATATATTTTGTAGAAGCTATTCATTATTGTAAGATATAAGAAATAATTTGTATTTTATAAATTTGTACACAATTGCTATCTATTGCAAAAAATAACGTGGAAATTATTTCATAGAAAAAATATAGTTCAGCAACAATGCTTACCTGGTTACCTGCTGATTCGATTGTTTTTATATTTAACGTTATAGCAAAGGAACATATTAACATGAGTGCATTCATTTTGACAATCATTGTTGTTTTTAAAAATTTTAATTAAACTTTAGTAAACTACAAGTCGTTTGCATGATATGGTGTAACTAATACTCACCTGTAATTAAATGCTCTAATAGTTTTTCTTATAGTTTAGTTGTAAAAAGCAAAAGTAAATAATTTTATTAATGTTAAAATTAGTTCGACAACACCTGTTCATACAAATGATATCTTTCGGTTTGTCAATGTATATTGATCATACTTTATCTAAATAATATTTTGTACATATTTTTATCAATTTTATTTCTTTTTAAAAAAATTATAATAAAGTCATAATTTCAAGTAGAAAAATGTGCACATTGTTTAGTTGTTTTTCTCGATTTCAGATGGAAAGGTGTGATTTTTTTTAAGAATTTCGTATGATCTGTTAGCGTATAAGAACCACAAGACGATAATAGATATCTTAAGGGTTTTGTATTAAATCGTAAATAATCATAAGTAAATAATTTTATTTTTAAATTGTATTCCTCAACACTTGTTCATACAAATTGCATTTGTTTTTGATTTTATATTATTCTTATTTTATCACACTACAACTTGATTTATACATTTTATTCGACAACACTTGTTCATACAAATGATATTTTTCGGTTTTGTCAACGTATATTGATATCATACTATAGTAAATTTATATATTTTGTAGAAGCCTTCTATTATTATAAGACATTTCAATGCTAAGAATAATTATTAGTATATTGTACAACTGCTATCCTCCGCAAAATATATAATCGAAAAAAAGTACAGAAAAAAATATATATTTCAAAATAAATTCTTACCTGGTGATTTGGTGATTTGATGGTTTTTATTATTTAAGATATATTATACGGTACGTTTACGTGTATCATATACCATAACTAATAAAATCAATTATTTAATATACGATATAAATAATACAAATAGCTGTTATGCTTTCGATAACAATATAATTTGGTAGCTCATGGTTTAAATTATGTTAAATTGTTTTAATATCATAAGAAAGTAATTGGATTTTCCAAATTTATTCCACGACACTTGCCATCAAAAATTGCTATTGTTCTTGTTATGTTTTCTTTTAATTCGTGATAACTTGATTTATAAACATAGTGTTTTTAATTAAAAATTTAAATGTATCGAGCAGCCGTCAATTCAACTACATCCATAAAATGCAAAAGCAAAATTTATATAAACCTATAGTACGGTACCTCATAATGTTAATTATGTTTAACCGTATCAATATCCTATGTAAAAAATTAACAATTTAAATTTATTTGATGACACTTATCACGAAAAGTCGTAATTCTTTTTGATAATTTTTTTTTATATTTTATTACAGCTTGACTTATATATATATATTGCGTTATTGTTTTAAAATTTAAATATATTGACCAGCCGATGACCTAACTACATCCACAAAATGCAAAAGCACATTATATTCGGACGGCAAGCAGAATACAGTTAATTCGTTTAAATAGTCTTTGAAATTCTTAATGATTCTTAGAATCGAATCACTGGAAGACAGTTGGATTTCGTTAATGTTGAAACCGAGAAAATCGACTTCGTTTGTACTAGCACCGTTTAAATCTTTTAGGATCTCATTGGCCTTCGCCCTGACTCTTGCCAAAATGTCTCTTATGTCATCGATGTCGCTTATTTTTGCAAACTTGAATTCTGATGAAATAACGACGAGAAATTCGTCTTTGTACACGGTTAAAGCCAATACGTGTTTGATAACGTTAACTATACGACTTTTGATGGATTTTAGTGTCAGTTCGTCGAGTACTCGCATGGATATTTGTTTTTCATAAATATACAGTATAACCGAAAGGTGACAATAAAATCTGGCATCAAGAATTGCGATTAATAACTGTTGGTGGTCGAGGCGATCGTACGGTTTGTATATCCAAGTGCGATTTTCCACAAATTCTCTGGTAATAGCCACTTCTAGTTCATGTCGACGTTTCACATTACTCCAGTCGACATTGGCTTCGGTGATTTGTCTGAACAATAATTGATTTTCATCTTCCCAAAATCGTTGTAGATATATAAACCTTACCGAGACCAAAACACCGCCGTCTAAAACATCCGTAACCCATCCGGAATTGCGTAGATCGTTGAAAATATTATCGTATATTAACGGCTTCTTCGAAACCAAGTCAGACTCTATTGTAGTCTTGGGAAGATATTTTTCAGCGATACAATTGTCGATGAAATCTGAAACTCCACTCTGCAGTTGGTCGTCTTCGAATGGGTTTTCGTTGATTAAATGTTTGTTGTATTCGTATTGGATGATTGCAAACATTTTCAAATAATAAATCCAAAGCCATTTGCCCGTTTCCAAATCTGACAACATTAATACGTAAAGTATGATTTTTGCTTCCTCTTCAACACGTTTTACATATTCTTCGTTATTGCCGTAAGGCTCTCCGCTTTTTAAATTTTCAACTAAATGCTTCATGATTGAAATATTAGATTTTGTAATAACACAAAAACTACATTTGATATCTTGAGCTCTTTTTTCTAATTTTTCTCGGCTTTTTAATTTTAAATGGTAATCATTAATATTGTCACATTCCTCTATTGATAAAATTGTCTGTTCAGCAGGTTTAAGATAAGTTGGACGTTTGTTGAATGTTTTCAATTTATTTACGGTACGTACATAGTCTTCACTGGACGTTTGAGTGTAAAATCGTACAGGAGCAATCTAAAAAATATATATATTTTTATTATTATTGAAAAACAAGTCCACAAAATATAAGAATCCATGTTATACTTTGCTTCAAAATTACAGAAAAATGATTTCAGTATAATTGCTGTTAAATATGGTATATGTATAGTTTTGACTTAAGACTTAAGAAATAATTTGTTTTTTTAATTTTTGTACAACTGCTATCTACCACATAAAATAACAACGAAATTGTATGATAGAAAAAATATAGTTTAAAATAAATGCTTACCTGGTTACCTGCTGAATCGACTGTTTTTATATTTAACGTTATAGCATAGGAACATAACATAAATGCACAAACTTTGATTATCATTGTTATTTTTATTTAATTTCAATTATACTTTAATAAAATACAAGTATTTCGTATGATCTGATAGTATAGTATAGTACTTCAAGAAGGTAAGTGATATCTTAAGGGTATTGTGTAAAATTTTAAATAACCATAAGTAAATAATTTTATTTTTAAATTGTATTCGACAACACTTGTTTATGCAAATTGTCATTTATTGTTTTTGATAATTTATTTTTTTTCTATTATTACACTACAACGTGATTTATACATTTTATTCGACAACACTTGTTCATACAAATTATATTTTTCGGTTTTGTCAACGTATATTGATCATACTCTGTTTAAATCAGATTTCATAAAAATGTTTACTAATTCTACTTCTTATAAAAAAGTTATTACAAAGCCGTAATTTTAGTTAGAAAAATATGTAAAAAGTTTGTTTTTTTTCTGGGTTGTGTTTGTTAATTTTGTACCCTATGAAAGTACTTATCATATGCGGTCCGTAAATTTGAAGTAGGTTTCGTGGTTTAGAATACATCTCATATCTACAAATAAAATACATTATTATAAAAGCAGAGTATTATTTTTTTTACAGACCAGTGTTTTTTTAGTTTAGTTCATTAGTGTCTTCTAAGAATCGAGATGACAAGTTTCCATTAGGTTCAATTTGTAGGTACTAAAATAAATTTTTAAAAGTTAGCAACGTTTGATCAATTAAATTTTAAATCTGTAATCTGTATATGATTTCATCACAAAGTATCCACAGATTCGGATCGAATTATTCTCTTGGATGTGATTTTATTACCACCTTCATAGCATTGGCTAGAAGTACTGAATAATATACCAAAACTAGTTGTATATCATTTAGCGTAGGACAGAAGTTTCTATAAGTAGTTACCTAATGTTGTGACTCGTTGATAAGCCAACATAATAACAGGTTAGTATAATCTAGTGGAGCCACCATTTTGTAAATTTGAACATTTCAAAACTAACAATTGTTCTTTGTAAGATTCAGTCGCACAAAAAAAGCCGCATAAATACAAAAATTGTCAACATTAAATTTGATGTTAGTAAAATCTAAATTTTATTTACATCTTCTAATTTTAGGTATGTATTATTTTTGTATCCAACGAGTAGGTACCGAATACTTTTGTACAAGGAATTATTAATAAACAATACGTTTTTTTTAACTATTAGCAATGTTTTATTTTTCAACAAAAATACATACATAAATATATTATAATATAGACTTTCATTGAGGTTCGTCGATTGCACACTATCAAAATATTTCAATCTTTCAAACGTGCCGGTGTCTCTCCGAAGATACGCGCCGCAGAGTCCATGTTTCTTTTCATTTCCTCGTTGATTTCTTCGTCGGTTCCCAAATCTTTACCGTGTTCGTACAACCGAACGTAACCGACCATGTTGCTGTTCACCTTTGTGAAATCTCGTCCAACTTCATGTGGAATAACATTTTTCCACCTTCTCGTCCCTCGTCCGAGTCCCAAAAAGCGTGGTGAACGTCGGCTATCGACTTGGTGGATATAAAATTGTACCTTAACCGTTCCAACAAGACGACCGTCAGGTAGGTGCGGAAATCCCGGATTAAACTCTCGTCCGCCGTCAACTGCTCGCCATAAGATATCGCCATCAGTTGGCAGAACCGGTGCAAGAAACCAAAGGCCGCGCTCTCAAAAGCGTCGATCAACCGGACGTAGCCTTGCAAAAATGCACCGTGACGGTAGTAATGTGTCAGTAAATCTTCCAGCTCGACACCGTGGGCTGGTACACCGTCCGTGTGGTTTTCGGCCAGTAGAATAGCCGTGAAAAATCGTCCAATGACCCGGTTTTGGGATTTCACATACGGATAGCCGCTGCCGTCAAAAGGAACGGTATCCGTGTAGGATTCAACGATGTCGTTATCCGTACATGACCATGCGTGGGTTGTCGCTTTGCTGATGCACGGTATTTGTCTGTCGGTGTAACAAGTACCCGGGCGCAACTCGTAGTCTGAAATCGGCCAATTGTCTTTGACCGCTTCGTTCAGTGTATCCAGAGCCCTCCTGTTTTCGGCAAACCAAAAAAAAAAACTACCATTTCTATCCGAGTTTTATGGGCTGTATCGATTTTGATGTAGGCACGATTCGGTGTTGACACAGCAGTCGAACGATAGTTTTTGCTCTGTTTTTTTTTAAAGAGAATAACCAAATATTATATTACATTTGTATATAAAATTGCATAGGTAAAAATATTTTAATGTGTGCCGTAGCTCTTGTAACTTGTACACGTCATATTTTTTATAAAAAATGTAATATTTATTGTTTTGTGACTATGACGAGTACCTTGCGAATGCTTTAATACACACTGTCATAGTATACAGGGTGACCATTTTATCGTTTTTTTTTCATAATGTTTTTATACAGTGTAATCTCAATATCTCACAATTTTTTTTTTTTTTTTAATTAAAACCTTTGACATATTCTACATTTGTAAAAAACTTGAAACTCACGAGAATAGTAATAATCAAATATAAAAATAAGCCGCGCTGAACTAGTGGTGTCAGGGCACAGTGGGGAAGGAGCATATTGGGACTTAGAAAGTCACAAGACTAACTATAAAGTTATTTTTTTTTCTTATAGTTACTTGGTACAGGGTACTTGTTAACTGCCTAAATTGTAATTGTAATAAATAAACAGAAGTTAAAGTCATATAAAAGTTTAGGAATATTTTTTCTTAAGGTTTCTTCATAATTCTTATATATTAGATATATTACTTAAGAAAAAAAAAACTTAAAAATTTAATTGTTTTCAATTTCACTTTATTTTTGGTAATAACCACCTCGACGTCATGTCGTTGTTTCGCCATAGTCCAATCGACATAGACTTCTGCTATTTGTCTGAACATGTGTAAATCATTTCATTTTTTAATTTTATCCGACAACACTTGTTCTGTGTTCATAAAAATGAAAATTTTCGATTTGTCAACATGTATAAATCATACTCTGTCTTGATAATATTAATTAAGTTAATACGATTTTCATGGTGTGTGCTCCGCTCGAAGCTAAAAAGCGAAGTAAATAATTTTAATTTAAACTGTATTGGGCTACATTTGTTTAAACAAATTGAAATTGTTTTCGATATTATATTTTCTTTTATACTACACATCATGGTCACAATTCCAATGTGAAAAAACAGTACCCTCGTGATTCCGACGCTTGTCCTTTCATTATTACATTTTTAGTCATCAAACTATTCGTTGCGCCCATCACTATTACTATGTATTCGTTATATTCCATTAAATGTCTTAAAATATACTTCGACAAAATATTTCATTAAATTACAAGAAAATCTATATATTTAGTGTAAAATTGAGAAGTAAATTATTTGAAGGAGTTTTTTAAAAATAAGTAATATATAAATAAAATATGATTACAATCAATCAAATATTCTTTAGATATTTTTACCGTAGCAAACCAAACTAAATAAGTAAAAAATAATTCTGCAGTATCTAAATGTTTATATATATATATATATACAAAAAAAATAATTACATATTTGGTAATTATTCATTTGTATATTTACAATAGTCTATTGCATTAATAATACAATAGACTATAATAATTTGATAATTTTAAAATTGCTTTTAGTATTGTTATAGGATGATCGCGTTATCAATACATGTATATTTATAAGAAAACAAATACGAGCAGTGCTTCCGGCGATTCGAGACTGACGACTAAACAATTTAATTATAGTTTAAAAAATTGAAATATCGATCAGTTGCAAAAGTTTAACTAATATAAAAGACACAACATTTCAATGATCACGGTCAGACGACTTGAGTGTACCACTTGTCATCAGCCAAATGTATTCCGTTGTCGCTGTCCTTTTGCGAGGCTTAAGTTCATGAGTTCGTTTGTTCAACACCTTGTAACGTACCTGAACAGCTAGTTCTATATTATTTAGCATATGACAGAAGTTTCTCTAAATATGTACCTAACCTTGTGGCTCGATGATAAGCCCACACAATAAGAGATAAATACAATGTAGTGGAACCACCATTTTGTAAATTTGATAATTTTAATACTAAGATATGTTTATTCGGAAGACTTTCGGTTTTAATAAATGTGTTTTTAGGGGTCTAGCAATTTCGTTTAATATTTGTATACGTGTTCATTTAGTATTTGTAGGTACTAGGTATGGCAATTTATTTTAATTTAAACTTAATTCGTTACATTTTTAGATCGTGGAACACTTGTATACACAATAAATGACTCGTGGTTTTCGAAATCGAGAAAAACCCAATTTAAAATGATATATATTTTTCAACTTAAAATTACGGCGCTCTATACATTTAAAAAAAAATGTCAAAATTTAAATGGAATATTGTTTAGACTTACTACATAGTACTACCGAGCATTTTTCTTTATTTAGCTAAAGTTTGAAGGATTAAGGCTTTTCATTAAAGAACCCCCCCCCCCCCCGAAAAAAACTTTCTTTTACCTAGTTACTTAGTTATTGACAACACATAACTTTATACATTTCTAGTTGTAATGATTAAACATGAGTTCGAGTCATATACAATTTTAATAATATTTTTTTATGGTTTCTTAATAATACTAATGTTTTAGATAAATTACTTAAGAAAGACGGAACAACAAAACATGATTGCTCTCAGTTTCACATAATTTCTTTTTAATTTGGAACATTTAAATATTTTACTATCTAAATCTTAATCGTATAATATGGAGACGTTTTCTTTTATTTCTTTACAATAAAATTATGTAGGTACATCGAGCAATGAGTTCAAAAGTAAATATATTGAGCAATCGACAATTTAACATCGTCCACAAAATGCAAAAGCACTCTACATTCGAATGGCAAGAAGAAGCCTTTTAATTCGTTAAAATAGTCTTTAAAATTCGTGATGACTCTTGTAATCCAATCGGCGGAAGTCAGTTGGTTTTCGTTAAGCTTGAGACTGAGCCAATCGATTTCCTTTGTACTAACGCCTAATTCGATAAGGATCTCGTTGGCCTTCGCCCTGACTCTTGTCAAAATGTCTCTTATGTCGTTGACGTCGCTTATTTTTGCAAACCTAAATTCCGATATAATAACCACAAGAAAGTCATCTTTGAATGCTGTCAAGTCCATTGCGTCTTGGATAAACTTATAAATAAGTTGTTTGATGTCTTTTAGTGTCTGTCCGCCCAGTGCTCGTGTGGATAATTGTTTTTCATAAACATGCAGTACAACCGAACAGCAACAATAAAATCTAGCATCGATAATTTTGACCAACAAGTGTTGATGGTCGAGGCGACCGTACGGTTTATACATCCAAGTGCGATTTTCTACAAATTCTCTGGTAATAGCTACCTCGAGCTTATGTCGTTTTTTCGCATTACTCCAATCGACATTGACTTCTGCTATTTGTCTGAACAATATTTGATTTCTGTCGTCCCAAAACGGTTTTAGGTATAAAAATTCTATGGTGCCCAAATAGGCACGGCCGCCCAAAATACCAAAAAACAGTCCAGAGCCGCGTAGATCGTGGAACATATTTTTGTGAATTTTCGGCTTTTTCGAAATCAAATCAGACTCTATTGCAGTCTTAGGAAGGTATTCTTCAGCTATACAATTTTCGATGAAATCTGAAACGCCTGATTGTAGTTGGACGTCTTCGAATGGGTTTTCGTGGATAAAACGTTTGTTGTCATCGTATTGACTGATGGCAACGATTTTCAAATAATAACTCCAAATCCATTTGCTCGTCGCCAAATCTGACAACAGTAATAAGTGAAGTATAATTGCGGCTTCCGTTTTAAATTTTCTCACAGTTTCCTCGTTAACACCTAAAGGCTCTCCACTTTTCAACTTTTCTACCAAATTCTTCATGTATGAAATGTTTGACTTTGCAATTAAACAAAAAGTACATTTTATGTCTTTGGCTTTTTTCTCTAATTTATCCCGGCTTTTTAATTTGAATTGGTAGTCTTTAAATGTGCCCCAATTACGTGTTGACAACACTTCTTGTTCTGCGGGTTTAATACTTATTGGGTGTTTGTTGAATGTTTTCAAATTATTTAAGGTGCGTATATAGAGTTCACTAGATGTTTGAGTGAAAAATCGTACAGGAACAATCTAAAATAAGTATTTATTTGTATAATTATAAAAATTATAACTCTAAAAATCAACAAAGTTGGATTATTCGTTTAATACGATGCAGCTATTAAGTATAATTTATTTTGATAATCTTGTCTAGAAATGTATTATTATGACTACAAATTAATAGAAACAATTAAGTTGTACAAATATGTGTACAACTATAAAATAAATATAGTATTTTGTATGTGTATTTAAAAAAAAATCAACTCTAAACATCTACCAAGATAGCCTCGAAATAATCTATGAAAATAATTAATAATAATTTGAATAGATTAGAAATATTTGTACAATTTCTATCAACTTCAAATATTATAAGATCAAAATTATTTCATAAAGAAATTACAGTTCAAAATAAAATATGCTTACCTGGTTACCCGCCGATTCAACAGTGTTTATATTGGACGTTACAGCAAAACAACATAACAAAATTGCACTAATGTTGGTAAACATTGTTAATTTTTGTATTTTGTATAATACCTGCTTTAGTGAAATACAAGAATTACCTTTGATATGGTGGTATATACTAACCTTTTCAATTGTAAAAAAGCATAAGTAGGTAAATCATTTTTATTTTTTATTTTATTCGACAACACTTGTTCATACAAATAACATTTTTTGGTTTGTCGACTTATATTGATCATAATCTGTCTAAATAATATTTTATAAAAATGTCTACTAATTTGTTATCTTGCGTGCACCTTATTTATTATAATAAAATTATATTACATTTTAAATAAAACCCGTGTGCAATATACAAACAATGACTATGTATATTTTGCCAGCAATTCGTCCACGTTTTTAATTATACGCAAATTTCCTATTTTCTCGTCAGAGAAGCGTGCAAAGAATTTATTTGTTTTACATAAGAGTGTTTTTTTTTAGCATGATTTTGTATCATAAGCTTGATGTCAATCGAGAGAATTTGTAAAACGTATCACTCTTTATCTTTCTTTTCTCTACAATCCCAATATGTGGTCACTTACAATCTCTTTTCCCTTTTTTTCCTTAGCTAACTAGAAATATTATCATTCTTCTGCATTTCTAGCAAAAGCTTAAAATCTCGAATACTTTTTTAGTAGACTCATTCTTTTTGGCCTGAACGCCAAAGAAATTTGAAAGCCAGCAAGACCGTAAAACACCCTTGTCCTCAACAGCTAGTAGATGTACTATAATAATGCATGGTATATTTTACTTTGAAATAACAGAAACTGGAAAATGTTATTTCTACCGCAAAATATAAGATTGAATTGACTTCATAGAGAAAATGTAGTTAAAAACAAATGCTTACCTGGTTACCTACTAATTTGACTGTTTTTATGTTTGACATCATTGCAAAACAATACAACAAAAATGCGCAAATATTGGCAATCATTGTTTTTTTTTCTAATATTTTTTTTTAAAATTATACTTTAGTAAAATATAAGTATTTTGTATAATTCGGCGGTGTAAACTAACCTATTCTACTTACAAAATGTTATATGGTAGCTAATTTTGTTAAATTGTAAAAGAGCTTAAGTCTTTCACTACACTTGTTCATACAAATTGCAGCTGTTTTCGATATTATATTATTTAATTTACACTATAAATTGATGTATGAACATTGTGTTGTTAATTTATAGTTAGGCTAATTGAAAGTGATAATAACGAAGAAGACAATTGTGATTTTTTTTTTTTTAATTTTAACACAATAAAGTACTTTTTATTTGTGTTTCTATAAAGTTTAAATGAGTTCAGTGTCTTAGTCTACATATATAGCTATTTCAATTAAATTATGTCAATTTTAAGACCTTTCGCTATGTATACCATGACCCCCGGCATTAAAAAAATATTGAGTTAGAAAGTCACTTTTAAAATAAGTTAAACCTTTCGCTAAATCTTTTTTGTTGGTCTTAACTTAAGACGTGTAACCTCTGAAAATAATATTTTATGATGATTAAAAAAATAGTGTTTTATTATCGGTCGCTTAATTATCACTAAAATAAATGTAATTTAATAATAATAAAAAATGAATACTAAATTACATAATACAAGTATAATAATATTCATACAATATAGCTTAATTAACATAAACCTTTATGCTTGTCATGCCATTTTACGGTTTCTTAAGGTTTTTATTAGGCGAAAATGTTGAAATAGCTTAAGTAAATAATTTGTTCATATTTAATTAAATTTATGTTATTAATTAAATTGGTAGCTTCTCTAATCATTGTACCTAAAGTATTCTTTCTTAATACTCAGTGTGGGCTTTTGTTAATTATTTTTATTTGGATCCTATTATACAGATGTAAACCTATTCATATTAGAGCGAACCAGGGTACAGTGGCCAGTGCAAAAATTGTATAGGCGTAAATAACTTAAACTGAACATTGTTGTTTAATATATTTTTTTTTTAACACTCAAAATATTTCTGTTTTTTTTTAAGTATTACAATAGAATATTGCATTTGCCAGATTTTAAACAAAAACAATCTTTAGTTTTAAGCTTTGCTGTCTACTTTATGGCACGTCTTCACGCCTTATCCACACATTAAAACGCTGAAAACTAGGTATTTAATAAAAAGTGAGAATTTTAAAACATGAGCCTGTATCCAGATTTCTTCAATTCCCCTCCCCTTAAATATCAAGATACAAAAAACGTTTTTGTACATACTTCAAAAAGTACATCCAATGGAATTTATTTTACGCTACAATACAGGGTGATTCGTTATGGTATACACTGACTATGGACTTCCTTTTTTTAAATAGTAACACATATTTTAAATTCCATAAATTTGTAGGCAAAACATTTTAAAATATGTTATCTTTTGAGTTTTTAATTATCATCACGAGTTCGTTAGCAATGAGTTTATAGACATATTACAATTTTCCTTGAGAATTGTCATATTTTACTTGTTCATACAAATTAGTATCATTTAATTATAGAATAACTAAATGTTCATATGATATGGTATAACGCAAATCTTTGTGCTTACCATGATATTGTACGGTTTCTTAAGGTTTTATAATGTAAAAATGTTTAAATGATTTAAGTGAACAACTTTCGAAATTGTACTTTTATTACATTACATAGAATACAACTCGTTGCCTTATGAAAAATTGTGTTTACGTTGTTTTTATCATTTCGAATATACTTTTTATTAATTCAAAAGTTAACATACGGAGCAGCCAAAATGTTGACTACATCCATAAAATGCAAAAGCAATCTACAGTCGAACGGCCAGCAGAAGCGTTTTAATTCGGTAAAATAGTCTTCGAAATCCCTAACGGTGTTGACTATTAAATCGTCGGTAGACAGTTGGTGCTCGTTAACGTCGACACTAAGCCAATCGATTTTGTCTGTGCCAACACCGTTTAATTCGATTAGGATCTCGTTGGTCTTTGTCCTCACTCTTGCTAAAATGTCTCCAATGTCGTTGACGTCGCTTAATTTGGCAAAATGGAATTCTGATACGATGACCACGAGGAAATCATCTTTGAACGACGCTAACTTCATTGCGTCGTGGATAACATTATACATATGATCTTTGACGCGGTTTAACGTCTGTGCGTCGAGTACTCTTGTGGATAAATATTTCTCATAGATGTGCAGCACAACCGAAAAGTAACAATAAAATCTGGCGTCGACAATTTTGGTCAGCAAGTCTTGGTGGTCCAGACGACCGTACGGTTTGTAAATCCAAGTGCGATTTTCCAAAAATTCTTCGGTAACGACCACCTCGACTTCATGTCGCCGTTTCGCCTTTCTCCAATCGACATTGGCCCCGGCTATTTGTCTGGACAATATTTGATTGTCGTCGTTCCAAAACGGTTTTAGATATAAAAATTCTACCGTGACCAAGTCGACGCGGTCGTTCAAAATATCTGCAAACATTCCGGAATTGCGTAAAACGCAAAACATATTTTTGTATACCTTCGGCTTTTTCGAAACCAAATCACATTCCGTTGCAGTCTTGGGGAGGTATTCTTTAGCTACACAATAGTCGATAAAATCTGAAACTCCAGACTGCAGTTGATCGTCCTCGAACGGGTTGTCTCGAATAAACGCGGTATTGTCATCGTATTGACTGATGGCGGAGACTTTCAAATAATAACTCCAAAGCCATTTGCCCGTTTTTAAACTTCCCAACAGTAATAGTCGCAGTATAATTTCGGCTTCCTCTTTAAGACGTGTTACCGTTTCCTCGTTATTGACGAAAGGCTCTCCGCTTTTTAACTTTTCAATTAAGTCATGCAAGTACAACATGTTTGATTTTACAATTAAACAAAAACTACATTTTATGTCTTCGGCTTTTTTCTCTAGTTTATCTCGGCATTTTAATTTTAATTGGTAATATGAAAAAGTGCCCAAAGCAGGGTTCGACAAAATTTTCTGTTCTGCTCGTGTAATACTTATTGGATGTTTGTTGAATGTTATCAAATTATCTACAGTACTTATATATAATGGACTAGTTGTTTGAGTGTAAAATCGTACAGGAACAATCTAAAATATATATAGATTTTTATAATTATAAAGTAGTAACTCTATTATCTATACTTATTTTAAAAATACTTGCTACAATGTATTTTGTTGTTTTTTTTTCATATTACAAATTTACGTACAAACAAACAAGACACCAAGTTGGATTTTTTGTTTTAGAACTAATAACAATAACTATTAATAACAAAAATGTAGCTTCCGAACAATGTTTGAACTATCAAATGATTATTTTTCTACAAAACACATATTAAACTTGATTTTAGTATTATGCAGCTATTAAATTTAATTTATTTTGATAAATTATTTTATACATATTTGTACAACTGCTGTCCACCGCAAAATATAAGATTTTTTTACTAAAATTATTTCAAAGAATATATTTAGTTCAAAATAAATGCTTACCTGGTTACCTGCTGATTCGATTGTTTTTATATTTGAAATAATTGCAAAACCACATAGCAAACATGCGCAAATGTTGGTAATCATTGTTATTTTATACATTTTTTTTATATATTGGTAAATTACATGTATTTTGTATAAGATGGTGGTATATACTAACGTATTATATTCGCAAGACTTTATACGGTCGCTAAAGTTTTTCATTGTGGTAAATTTAAAAAAAGTAAATAATTTCATTATAATTTAAATTTTTTTCGACAACACTTGTTCATACAAATGATGATTTTAGGTTTGCCAACGTATATTGATCATACTCTGTCTTAATGATATCTTATACAAATTCCTTATAACTCGACTTCTTATAAAAAAGTTATTACAAGCCGTAATTTTAAGTTCAATTATGAGTACAGGGTTATTGGTTTATCTACGAGCCATGCAATAACTTAGAAGATATTTATTTTGTTTATATATACTTTTATTGTTATTAATTATTATTTTTTATTGTTAATTTGTTAGGGCAAATTTGATATATTTTGTTTAATAATAAAAGTACTGGAAAAATCATATTGTATTACCAAAATAATTTTTATAAAAATGCAAATAACAAAATACATAACACACTTGTAATAAACAGATAGGATTTTTTATTTGCTAAATCACATTAAAAAACTATGACTACATAAAATTACCATAACTATAGTTGACTTGTAAATAATAGAGAAACAACATAATATTGTTGTTTAAAGTGGCGTGTTTATGGGCAATAACCTGGACCGGTAAAGTTAGTTTGATGGTTTAATTTACATATTTAACTTAAAATATAATTTACAAGTATATGTACACAATTTATTTGACAATAATATAATTTGTTTATACTTAACCTATTTATTCCAAATTACTTATAAAAACTTTATATTAAACCTCTAAAAAGATGTTAATGAATTCTGTAATAACTAATACTAAAACTATGCCATAACTGAAATAATTTCAAGATTTGGATTAAGACACTAACATTATATTCTAGACACGTTACCACTCGCAGAAGTATCTTCGATACTGCTGAGAGAAGACTGAGAGCGCACTCCATACAATATGTTGATTTCATTTCTGGCTGGTTGGATAATTCACCTGAAAGTAATTTTAACCAAGTTAAACTAGGTATTTCTTAAAAAGTAAGTAAATTAACACATACCATTATGCTCGCAAAGATATTTTACGGTTTCTTAACATTTTTATTAGGTGAAAATGCTGAAATGGCGTAAGTAAATATAATTGTTTCAAATTTAATTAAATTTTTTATATTTCTAGGTAGATACTTGTCAACAAAAAAAAAATTCGATATTTTACTTTTATTACATTACATGGAATATAACTTGTTTGAAATTTATAATTTAAATATATCAAGCAGTTGACAACTTAACTACATCTATAAAATGCAAAAGCACTTTACATTCGAACGGCAAGCAGATGCTTTTTAGTTCGTCTAAATAGTATCTGAAATCCATAATAACTTTTATAAGCAAATCGTTGGGAGACAGCTATTGCTCGACTTCATGTTGTTGTTTCGCATTACTCCAATCGACATTGACCTCAGCTATTCGTCTGAAAAAAATTGACTTTCGTCGTCCCAAAATTGTTTTAAATATAGAAATTCAATCGTCACCAAACCATGGCCGTATAAAATGTATAAAAACATTTTGGAGACACGTAGAGTGTTAAACATGTTTTTGGATATATTTGGTATTTTCGAAACCAAATCTGATTGCTTTTTATCCAGTGGAAGGTATTTGTCTGTCTTACAGTGTTCAATGAAATCTGACACACCGGTTTGCAGTTGTTCGTCTTCGAATGGGTTATCCTGGATGAAACGTTTGTTATTTTCGTATTGGCTGATGACAAAGATTTTCAACAAATAAATCCACAGCCATTTGCCAGTCTCCAAATCTGACAACACCAATAAGTGAAGTATAATTTTGGCTTCTTCTTCAAGGCGTTTTACAATTTCCAGGTTATAACTAAAACGCTCTTCTTTTTTAAACTTTTCAATTAAGTCCTTCAAGAACAATATATTTGCTTTTGCAATTACACAATTCGTTTATAGCTACATTTTATGTCTTTAGCTTTTTTCTCTAACTTATCCCGGCTTTTTAATTTAAATTGGTATTCTTTAATATTGTCACTATCCCGTGTTGACAGATGTTTCCGTTCTGCGGATTTAATACTTATTGGATGTTTGTTGAAGGTTTTTAAATGATTTAAGGTACTTAAATAGCGTTCATTGGATACTTGAATGAAAAATCGTATAGGAACAATCTAAAAAATTGATATAATTATGTAATGATAAGAAAGTAATTGTAAAAATAAACAAGGTTGGATTTTTCGTTTTATACAATGCACCTGTTGAGTATAGTTAATTATGATTATATTGTCTAAAAATGTATTATTATGGCTACAAACTAATAGAAACAATAAAGTTGTACAAATATTTGTACAACTATAAAATAAGTATAGTAAGTTGTATTTGTATTTTAACAGAACAGCATAGTAGAGTTCTATATTATATAGAAGTTTTCCATTTTTTTTTAACGTAAAGGATAATTTGTGTTTTAAAAATAGATGTACACCTGCCATCTACCGCAATATATAAGATTAAAATTATTTCACAGCAAAAAAATATTTTTAAATAAAAGCTTACCTGGTGGTTAACTGCTGTTTCGATTTTCGATTTATACTTGGCATTATTGCAAAACAACATACAATAATGCACAAATGTTAGCAATCATTGTTATTTTTTTATATTTTCAGTTATACTTCAGTAAAATACAAGTCTTTTGTATGATATGGTGTAACTAATACGGATCTATTATACTCTAATAGTTTTTCGTAGTGTTAAATTGTAAAAAAAGTATAAGTAAATAACTTTATTAATGTTAAATAATTTTTTCGTCAACACTTGTTCATACAAATGATATCTTTCGGTTTACTGATGTATATTGATCACACTTTATCTAAACAATATTTTACAAAAATTGTTTTTGAATTCGACGTTTTATAAAATAAATTATAATAAAGTCGTAATTTCAAGTTGAAAAACGTGTAAATTAGTTGTTTTTCTCAATTTTTTACTTGTTATCTGTGTTTGTTTAAAGTTGAAATGAGTTCCGTGGGTTTGACTATGTATTGTGTCTACAAATAAATTTTCTTTTTGAATTATTGCAAATTTAATACCTAGTTGTAAAAAGGCTGTACGATGAAATTGGGGCGTATGGGAAATTTTGCTAAACAAATTTACTCTCTGTTTTTTGTCAAGATTCACACCATTTTTTTTATTATGCTATAATTTAAGGTTTTCGGGTTAAATTGTAAAAAACATAAGTAATTTAAATTTAGCATTTTATTCGACAACACTTGTTCATACAAATTGCAATCGTTTCAGATATTATATTTTTCTTTTATTATACCACTACTTGATTTATGAACATTGTATTATTAATTTAAAATTTAAATAGCAGCGGACGACATAGAGTATTCTAAAGACCTCTTCTACATATTTTTCTTAGACAGGTATTCTAAGAGTGTATGTCCATTTCAATTTGCATTGGAATAAGACTGGATTAATTCAAATTGTTTCCATAGTTTTAAGTTGTATAAAAAATTCTGTCAATTGTTATTTACGAGTATCAAAATTCTAAAAAATGAATGTTTACACACTAACTTACTTATAATTATTATAAACTATTTATTTTGGTTTTATTTATTCTTATAATATTGGTATACTATACATTTATTTCTCATTTGTTATTTATTTCAGAATACTTTAAACATAAAAATATGTAAATTACAAACATAATACATGAACTCTTGTCTCCTCCACAAGTTTAGGGCTTTTAAGACAAACTTTTCCTTTTATAAGCCAAATATTTTAAATTATGTATATTCTGTTTGAAACAATAACGATAAACCATCATCAACTATTAACGAAAAACGTTTATTTAAAAACTCTTAATAAAATGTGTAAATGCTTTTCTTTTTTGTAAATTACAAGCTGTCCAGACCCGGCATTACCTGAGATTTAGTCTGCCAGGGCTAAGTAAAGTAATTTCAAAAGTATTTTACAAAAAAAAATATTTAAAATAAATGCTTACCTGGTGTTTACCTGACGATTCGATTGTTTTTATATTTGACGTTATAGCAAAACAACATAACAAGAATGCGCACAATTTGTTAGTCCTAGTTATTTTTTATAGTTTTAATTATATTCCATAAAATACAAGTTTTTCGTATAATATAGTGTATCTAGTACTAACCTATAACACTCGCGGGACGTTATACGGTCGCTAAAATGTTTCATTGTATTAAATTGTACAAATAAACATAAGTAGATTGTTTCATTTTTTAATTTTTTTTCGACAACACTTGTTCACACAAATGATATTCTTCGGTTTGCCAACGTTTTTTGATTATACTTACAATTAGTCTAAATAATAATAATAAGTGCATTTAATAAAACAAAGTATTTCTATATTATAATTTAAGTATAATAATACAGTAAAAACAATTTTCATGTTATATGGTTTATTTAATCCAAATGTTTATGCTTGCAATGACATTATATGGTTTCATAAAGGTTTTATCATGTGAAACTGTTAAAATAGGATAAGCAAATACAATTTTCATAATAAATTTAATTTCTAATATTTGTTATGCTATACTTTTAATTTTTATTCTTGTAACAATTTTCTTTAATTTATTTATAATTTGATTTAAGAACTTTGAGTTCAAAATTTAAAATTTAAATATATTGAGCAGCCGACTATGTGACTACGTCTATAAAATGCAATAACACTTTATAGTCAAACGGCAAGGCTTTTAATTTATTTAAATATTCATAAAAATCATCAATGATTCTTATTATCAAATCTGTGTTAGATAGTTGGCCTTCGTTAACGTTGAAACTAAGCCAATCGATTTTGTTTGCGCTAACACCATTTAAATCGTTTAGGATCTCGTTGGCCTTTGTCTTCACTCTAGTTAAAATTCCTTTTATGTCTTTGATTTCGGCTATTATTCCAAACTTAAATTCTGATATAATATTCAAAAGGAATTCATCTTTATACCCCATTGAAATCAATGCTTCTTTGATGGCATTATTTATACGATCTCTGGTGTCTATCATCGTCGGTTCGTCCAGTCTGGAAAACTGTTTTTCATAGATATGCAGAACAACCGAAAAGAAACAATAAAATCTGGCACTGATAATTTTGATTACCATATGTTGGTGGTCGAGTCGACCGTACGGTTGGTTAATCCAAGTGCGATTTTCTACAAATTCTCTGGTAATAGCTGTTTCGAGTTCATGTCGTTGTTTTACATTACTCCAATCGACATTGACTCCGACTATATGTCTGAACAATATTTGATTTGCGTCGTCCAAAAATGGTTTAAGATATAAAAAGTCTGTCGTGACCAAAAAACCGCCCCTTAACACATCTCTATTCCATCTGGATTCGCGAAGATCACAAAACATTTTTTTATATATCTCTGGCTTTTTCAAAACCAAATAAGATTCTATTGCATTCTTAGGTAGGTAATCGTTAGCTATACATTTTTCTATAAAGACTGAAAAGCCGGTTTGGAGTTGTTGATCTTCGAATGGGTTTTCCTGGATGAAACGTTTGTTATTTTCGTATTGGCTGATTGCAATTATTTTTAAATAATAACTCCAAAGCCATTTTCCCGTTTCTAAATTTCCCCACACTAATAATTGTAGTATAAGTCCGACTTCTTCTTTGAGACGTGTTACAGTTACCTCGTCATTAATGAAAGGCTCTCCATTTTCTAGCTTTAAAAATAATTCCTTCAAGTATAATAGTTTTCCTTTTGCTATTAAACCAAAACTACATTTGATGTCTTTAACTTTTTTCTCTAATTTTTCACGGCTTTTTAATTTTAATTGGTAATCCACAAAAGTTCCCAAATAATTGGCTGTCAGGAGTGCATTGTCTTTGTTTGTAATACTAACTGGATTTTTGTTGTTAAATGTTATCAAACTCTTTATGGTTTGTACATAGCTTGGACCAGTTGATTGAGTGTATAATCGCAAAGGAGCAATCTATAAAAAATGTATATTTAAATACAAAAAATATTATTTGTATTTAATTTTATACTATAATTTTTATAATTGTATTTTTATATGATTACTATTAGTAACAATAAATATAGTCTTGTAACAATCTATTATTTATCCAATAGTTATTTTGCTTTAAAATAATGTAAACTAAATTTCAGTATGATGCAGCTATTTATGTTAAATAATTTATTTAAATAACATCGTCTGAAAAAGTTTAATTGTGACTACAAGTTAACAAAAACATTCAATTTGTACATCAATAAAATAATTATAGTACCACCGATCCTGATTACTTAAACCTATCAACCTCACACACTTCGTCGCCTCACTCATCTGCATTACTTGTTTTGCCCCATAACTTTCTCGAAAATCAAATACTATTACCTCCCTTTTTCCCTATTGTTCCACACTCCTGCACATCTCCCTTGCCCATATTGGTACCAGAATACTTTTCCGACATTTTCCCATCTACTATCACCTTATTAAGGAAACCGGTCAACCACCTTGTGCCAAAGTAGCCTTTTTTTTAGCTTACCTGAGAGGGAACTGTTTACACACTACTTCCTCCCATGCCAATGTAGCCTAACACCTGCCTTAACCCATTGGAGATTCCTCATTCAATAGTTTTTCAAAGTACACTTTCCATCTCTTTTTCGCATCCACATGTCATGTCAGCACTTCTTTATCTTCGACTTTCATACTACACACGATTAACAAATCTCTGGACCTCTTTTCTCGAATCTTGGCCAATTATTACACAACCGTTAAGGGTATTTTTTATGCGGTTGCTATTCGATGGTTTGCAAGGCTCTATTAAAGGTTTTCACATAGGTATTACATATTATATTATAACAGCTTGCGTACGAGTCTGCAACACCACAGGATACATTTTTATGTATCTTAGGTGGCTAGTAAGTAGTTACCATATCAAGTTTCTGGCTAATATTTAAGTGTTTTCATAATATCTGACGCAAAACAATTCATAGAGAATTTGGCCCCTTAAATTATTGAATTTATTATTCATTTATATTTTGAACTTTTTGAATACAATATATACATACAACATATTATTTTGCTACGAACCATAGTCGCGTTCAATTATACAAATATTAATAATATTAGGCTAGTATTAATATGAGTGTGCTGAACGAACTTAAATAAAAAAATTGTTCAAATAAAGTCAAAGCATAAAAAAACATGTCGAAGTACAAAACCTATTTCGCCTGATCTAGAAAATTAGTTTGCAGACGTAACGTCATTTGTACATATAAAATCTGTAAAAACAACAGCTAGTATTTTCAGAAATAAATATTTTTAAAATAGTACCCCATAAAATTCTTATATAATATGTTTGAATTGTCAAAAAGGTGATATTACCTAAATCCAGTCACTATATAATCATTTTAATTAAGGGAATTGCATGCAGTCTGTTTTAAAGGAGTTTTGTATAGGCAATGTTTTAAAAAAGTTTTAAAATTTAGACCATGTTAATTAATTGTCCGTTTAATTTATATTCTTTTAAATTTACAATAACTATATTTAAAAAAAGTATTTAATGCATGATATTATTAATACAAAGTACAAACCTGTTATGTTTTGCTAATATTAACGGTAATACATAGTTATTATAAAACATTGTTTAAATAATATAACACATAATTAATTTCATTTAATTTTGTAAATTTATTTGATGACCCTTGAAACTAAAAACTGAAATTTTTGTTTACAAGTTTTCTTTCTTTTCAATTATTTTGAGTGGGTGATGATTAAATTAAATCTATGAAACTCATAAACACTTTATATTCGAACGGCTGGCAAACATATTTTAAGTCACTTAAAAAACCTTTAAAATCATCAATAATCCTTAACAAATCGTCGGCAGACAGTTGGCCTTCGTTAAAGTTGAAACTTGGTGCCCAAAGCAGGGTTTGCAAGATTTATTATGTCTTTTAGTTTAATACTAATTGACGGTTTGTTAAAAGTTATGAAATTTTTTATGGTACATAAGTACAAGTTGGATTATGACATTTTTATGTCTTTGCTTTGGCATACACACGGAATATTTGACACCAATTAAAATAAAAGTATTGACACCGGTTGTCATAACGAAAAAATCAGCTGATTTATCTGATAAGATAAGTGATATAAGATTTAAGAGATATGTTTTTAATTTGGAACACAAACAGAAATAAAAAAACCTAGCTATTTTCTTCGCACCACGGATAAATTTTAAATCATGGATATGTTTTAGCATTTAAAGTCCGTATAACCATAACGATTTCTAGTATCTATGGTGGCTAGTATATTAAAACATAACAAGTTTCTGACTTATATTTTAGTGTTGAATATCTGGCTTAAAACAATTCATAAAAATATGACCTCTTAAATTATTGAATTCATTTTATTTCAGTTCTAGTTTGCACATTGTGAATACAACATGGGCGTAGGAATGTTAAATTTTTTAAATGATGTGTTGTTTTCACAACGAACAAACTTGAATGAATGGTTAAACTGATCAAAATAACTAACCAAGTAAATGTTTTGCCAAAATAAATCGATTAAGGTCATTTATTAAAAAACTACTAAACAACTTTTGGCCAAAATATAAAATTCACCATCACCTATCATTCGAGTACCGTGATTACTATTGTCATAAACCAAGTGCTTATTTTGGGTTAGCAACGAAAAATATTTTAAATGGTATCAAAGGGGTACGTGGAACGAGACTTAAAAATGTATCCCGTGGTGTTGCGGACTCGTACAAAAACTGTTAATAATATGTAAAAACCTTAAATAGAGCCAAACTAATCACCAATTTTTGTTTGAAACAGATAATAATTGTTACTAAAATATTAAGAACAAAAATGTCTCAAACAATGATTTATCCAATGATTATAGTGATCCAAAATAATGTAAACTAAATTTCCGTATAATGCAGCTGTTAAATATAATTTGTATGATTGCTATCTACCGTAAAATAAAAGATTCAAATAAAATGTATATATTGCAAAATAAAAGCTTACCTTGACATGGGGTGATTCAATTTTTTTTATATTCGACGTTATAGCAAAACAACTTAACATAAACGTGCAAATGTGGACCATCGTTGTTATTTTTTATGTTTTTAATTATACTAAAGTAAAATTCGTATGATATGGTATGACGAATACTAATTCCTTATACTAGCAAGTTGGTCTCTAAAGATTTTTTTTGTGTTAAATTGTAAAAAAACTTAAGTAAACCGTTTTGTTTTTCAGTTTTATTTGACTAGTCTTCTTCAAACAAAACGGTATTTTTCGGTTTGTCAGCGTATATTGTACATACTTCGTCTAAAAAATACCTTACACAAATTTCTAACAATTCTACTTTTTATAAAAAAATTTTTTAGATAATTAAGCTTTTTTTACAAGTTACAAGTTATGTTTTCGTACTAATTAAAAAAAGCCGGTGTACTTTTCGGAACTTTTTTTAAAACTCCAGCCAAAGTAAATTTTTTTATAACATTTTAAACAAAAATAGTAATTTTAAAATGTACAATAGATATGTATAACATACACCTGGTATGCAAACGATTATACCAGATAGAAGTGCATACCTGACGCTTTAGAATCCATTTTAATAACCTGATAAATTTTAATTTAGGAAAATAGGATAAGCACAAGTAATCGATCAACAGTTTCGACTCGATTATTTTTATTAGCGCGCCACACAAAAGTAATCTTTTAAGTTTAATACCTCTGTCACCGGCGTCCAAAGTTCAAATATGAAACCATTTTATCGTAACCAATTATCTAACAACTTATTTCTAACAATATCATAATTTTTAAAAATAGATCAAAAATAGATTTTTGTCCAAACAGATTTAAATTTTGACCCACTAAGGCGACGGTTCGAATGATGTCAAAGCATTATCAACACATGTGGAAATATAAATGTATGAAAAACATACAAAGCCCGTGATCACAACAGCTAGTATTTTTATCATTTATTATTATGAGCATTCACTATAAAATATTTTAAATAAGGTATGCGGTTTGTTTTTAAAGAGTTTTGTATAGGCAGTTATAGGTGGTTTTAATAATGTTATGACCATGTTAATTAATTTACCAGTTAATTTGTATAAGTTTTAAGTTTTTTAGTTTATATAATTATTTTCTATGAATAAAATTAATTTTGGCAATTACAGAAAAACTATATTTTTTAGTCTCGAATAAATTTCTATAATTTCCTTAGGATTTTAAATTTTAATTTTGTAACATAGAAAAAAGTTAAAATGTGGTAAAATAATGTGGTTTTAATAATAGTTGAATGTTTTAGGCATAATTTTAAAATAAGAACTGTAAACATTAACATTGCTTTTTTTAACATAGTTAGATTATATTGTCTGAAAATGTACTATTATGATATATCCCTCCCCACCATAACACATAATCATGTCAATATATTTATATAATTATAGAAAACTGATTCTATAAACAATCAATTTGGACGATATGGAAGATATGGAATAATGCAAGATGAAATTTTCCATTGAAATCTATCTTGATAATTTGTATTTTTTATAAATCTCCGTAGTAAAAAAGTTACGTATACGTAAAAAGTAAAATAAAATATTACTATACTAAAATACCATTATAGTATGGTTTATTTAATGTAAACGTTTATGCATGCTTGTTTTTGAAAATGCTGAAATAGGGAGAGTGAATAATATTTTCATAAAAAGTTAATTTCTCATATATTTTAGGCGACAATTTTATTTTGTATTTATGTTTTTTCTTTAATTGCATTATAATTTGGAGAGAGCCAAAGACACAGAGAGAGTCTCAACAATATTAGGTGCGAGTTCGGTTTCTCAAAAAAATTAATAGCACTAACTAAAATGTGTATGGAAAGCACGAAATACAGAGTGAGAATACAAAATGTAACATCAGGAACATTTACAGTGGAAACCAGGCTGAAGCAGGGGGACGCCCTGTCCCCAGTACTTTTCAATCTTGCCCTAGAGAAGGTAGTAAGGATACTACAGGACAACGAAGGTGGTTTATTAATTGGTCAGAATAAGTTGCGCCTACTCGGTTTCGCTGACATATTAGACATAAAAGGTGATTCGCTTGCAGAATGATTGCTTCCTTAATAATATTTCCTGTATTACATTATCACACAATCACGTCTCCTTATCCTATGGCATACCATCGTTACTCTCACCTAAAACATCCCTTGCCACCTTTTTTACACCATTTACCACCTTATTCCAAACTTTATCTACATTTACCTACATGCTAAACACTACTTCTTCCTTCATTTTCCTCACAAACCACTTTTCTTTGTCACCCGTTAACTTCCACCACCTTATTTTCGACACTTTATTTTCTGCTCTTTTCTCGTGTTTAACCTGTTTCCTTCACACCAAAAATCCAAGACCAACTACCTATGCTGCATTACCACACTTTTGCCTAAAATTACTTTACAATCCTTACACTGCTGTACAATCTCTGTTCTCTATTTGTGATCTATACCCTCCACTTTTATAAGACGTTATAATAGTCTTCTCTCTTCTTATATAAAGTACTCACAACTGTCTTTTCACAACTCATACGCTTGCGAAAATCAAAAACTCTCTCCCCACCAACTATATGGCTACTTCTCACCTGTGCCCACCCCCCCTCGCACATATTTCGATTATATTGCCAGAAAATGTAATTAATATGTATAATTCTGGAATCCCGACTAAAAATAAATAAGGTTGGATGATATGAATAATATGAAATAAAGCAGGATGACATTTTCCACAGAAAATAAAAATATATTGGAATAATTTGTATTTTTATAATTCTGCATTCGCAAAAACTAAAATGAATGGCATTTAATAAAATAAAGTATTACTATCTTAAAATTCAAGTATAATAATACAGTAAAAACAATTTTCATGTTATATGGTTTATTTAATCCAAACGTTTAGGCTTGCAACATTATACGGTTTCATTAGGTTCTTATCATGTGAAACTGTTGAAATAGGATAAGTAAATACAATTTTCATAATAAATTTAATTTCTAATATTTCATATGCTATACTTTTAATTTTTATTCTTGTACTCCTGTAATTTTCTTTAAATTCGTTATATTTTGATTTAAGAACATTGAGTTCATAATTTAAAATTTTAAATACATTGAGCAGCCGACTATGTAACTACATCTATAAAATGCAAAAACACTTTATATTTAAACGGCAAGACTGTTAATTCATTTAAATAATCATAAAAATCATTAAGGATTCTTATTATCAAATCTGTGTTAGACAGTTGGCCTTCGTTAACGTTGAAACTAAGCCAATCGATTTTGTTTGCGCTAACACCATTTAAATCGTTTAGGATCTCGTTGGCCTTTTTCCACACACTTGCTAAAATGTCTTTTATGTCGTTGATTTCGTTTATTATTCCAAACTTAAATTCTGATATAATATTCAAAAGAAAATCATCTTTATACGACATTAAAATCAATGCGTCTTTGATTACATTATTTATACGATCTCTGGTGTCTATCATCATCTCTTCGCGCAGTCTGGAAAACTGTTTTTCATAAATATGCAGAACAACCGAAAAGAAACAATAAAATCTGGCACTGATAATTTTGATTACCATATGTTGGTGGTCGAGTCGGCCGTACGGATTTTTAATCCAAGTGCGATTTTCTACAAATTCTCTGGTAATAGCTGTTTCGAGTTCATGACGTTGTTTTACATTACTCCAATCGACATTGACTCCGACTATATGTCTGAACAATATTTCATTTGCGTCATCCCAAAATGATTTAAGATATAAAAAGTCTGTCGTGACCAAAAATTGGCCCCTTAACACATCTTTACCCCATCTGGATTTCCGAAGATCACAAAACATTTTTTCGTATATCTCTGGCTTTTTCAAAACCAAATCAAATTCTATTGTATTCTTAGGTAGGTAATCGTCAGCTATACATTTTTCTATAAAGACTGAAAAGCCGGTTTGGAGTTGTTGATCTTCGAATGGGTTTTCCTGGATGAAACGTTTGTTACCTTCGTATTGGCTGATTGCAATAATTTTTAAATAATAACTCCAAAGCCTTTTTCCTGTTTCTAAATTTCCCCACACTAATAATTGTAGTATAAGTCCGGCTTCTTCTTTAAGACGTTTTATAGTTTCCTCGACATTAATAAAAGGCTCTCCATTTTCTAGCTTTACAAATAAGTCCTTCAAGAAAAATAATTTTGATTTTGCAATTAATGAAAAACTACATGTGATGTCTTTAGCTTTTTTCTCTAATTTTTCACGGCTTTTTAATTTTAATTGGTAATCTAAAAAAGTTTCTAAATAACCGGCTGTCAGAAGTGCTACGTCTTCGTATGTAATACTAACTGGATGGTTGTTAAATGTTTTCAAATTCTTTATGGTTTGTACATAGCTTGGACCAGTTGTATGAGTGTATAATCGCAAAGGAGCAATCTATAAAAAATGTATATTTAAATACAAATATTATTATTTGTATTTAACTTTAATATTATTACTATTAAAAACAAAAAAATTAGTCTTGTAACAATATGATTTATCCAATAGTTATTTTGCTTTAAAATAATGTAAACTAAATTTCAGTATGGTGCAGCTATTTAACATAATTTTTTTTAATTACATCGTCTGAAAAAGTTTAATTGTGACTTCTTCGACTTTCATGCAACACACGATCTAAAAATCGTACTATTTGAACTTTGCTTTTCTAACTACCCATTTTGATTTTTTATTTAGTTTCTGTACTCCAACTAATCCTCTCTCCTCATGTTTTTTTGTCATTTGTTATGCTGAGACATTTTCCTTAATAACCTTTCCTTTATATCATTATCGCACCACCACGTTTCCTTATCCAGTCACTACCTTTACTTTTATCTACAACATCCACCGCCACTTTTTTTATACTATTTACCACCCTATTCTAAACTATTTCAACATTTTCCTCAATGCTTCACAGTACTTCTTCTTTCATTTTCCTTACAACCCACTTTTCTTTTCCAACCGTTAACTTCTATCACCTTTTTTTTGACACTTTATTTACTGCTCTTTTCTCCTGTTTATCCTGTTTTCTTGACACCAAAAACTTATGCTGTATTACCACACTTTTGCCTAAAATTACTTTAAAATCCTTACACTGCTGTACAATCTCTGTTCTCTATTTGTGATCTATACCCTCCACTTTTGTGAGTTATATAATATTCTTCTCTCTTCCTATAAAAAGTACTCACAACTGACTTTTCACAACCTTTATGCTTGCTAAAATCAAGTACTCTCTCCCCAACAACTATATAGCTACTTCTCGCCTGTGCCCACCCCCTCGCACATCCGAGATGAGACACACCGCCTATGTTCAGTTTTGGACTCCTCATACACTTCAACTTGTTTTACACCGTCTGTAAGCCTGACGTAACATTATTTTAGTCCACTCTTACGAAAGGTATGAGGTACCATAGGAGTATTCTGACCCTCATAGAAAAAAATATAGGTAGTTAAAAATTAATGCTTACTTGGTTACCTGCTGATTCGATTATTTTTATATTTGATGTTATAGCAAAACAACAGAACAAAAATTCACAAAGGTTTGCAATCATAGTTTTTTTTATTACTACTTATACATTAGTAAAATACAAGTCTTTTGTGCAATTTAGTAAAACTAGTACTATCCTGTTATACTCGCAAGCGGTTTTACGGTAGCTAAAGTGTTTTATTGTGTTTAATTGTCATAAAGCATAAGTAATTAATTTTATTTTTAATTTTTTTTTGACAACACTTGTTCATACAAATGATATTCTTGGGTTGCCAACGTATATTGGTTATACTTTGCCTAAATAATATTTTTTACAAATTTCTGTCGATTCGACTTCTTATAAAAAAACTATAATAAAACCATAATGTTAAGCTGCAAAATTGTGTGCTTTTTTGCTTGTTATTCTCGAATTAAGATAGTAAAGGATATTTTTTTTTAGTTATCAAAAATTCACTTCTCATCTGTGTTTTTGAAGTTGAAATGGATTCAGTGGGTTATAATATATATAAAAATCAATGGCTACAAATCAATTTTTCATTCGAATTATTTCAAATTTTTAGACCTTTAGGTAAATGAACCATGGCCTCAGGCTTATAGCATAGAGTTAGAAAGTCGATATTAAAAAACATTTCACTATACATTTTCTGTTGTAGGAATATATATATATATATGCATATATAAATATTATGTCGTCATTGATCAGAATATTTTATAGTTATTAAAAAAAATTCTTTATTATCAGCCTTTTAATTATTAGTTGATAAAATCTGTGTTAATAGTAAAAAGTCAGTACAATAAAGTCGACACATTAAAACACCGTTTTTTTTGTTAAGATTCACATTATTTTTTATTTTGCTACGAACCATAGTCACGTTCTGTTATACAAATATTAATAATATTAGACTAGTATTAATATGAGTGTGCTGAACGATCTTAAATCAAACAATGGTTCAAATGACGTCAAATCATAAAAAAACATGTCGAAGTACAAAACCTATTTCGCCTGATCTAGAAAATTAGTTTGCAGACGTAACCCATACAATTTTTATATAAAATGATTGAATTGTCAGATAGGTGATATCACCTAAACCCAGTCACTATAAAATCATTTTTATGAAAGGAATTGCATGCAGTCTGTTTTAAAGGAGTTTTGTATAGGCAATGTTTTAAAAAAGTTTTAAAATTAAGACCAATGTTCTATAAAATTTACAACACCTTTATTAAAAAAAAGTATTTAATGCATGATATTATTAATACAAAGTACAAACCTATTATGTTTTGCTAAGATTAACGGTAACTCATAATTATTATATAACATTGTTTTAATAATATAACACATAATTAAATTAATTTAATTTTGCAAATATATTTAATGACCCTTGAAACTAAAAACTGCATTTTTTTTATATGGTTTCTTTCTTTTCAATTATTTTGAGTGGGTAATGATTGAATTACATCTATGAAACTCAAAAACACTTTATATTCGAACGGCTGGCAAAAATATTTTAAGTCGCTTAAAAAACCTTTAAAATCATTAATAATCCTTAACAAGTCGTCGGCAGACATTTGGCCTTCGTTAACGTTGAAACTAAGCAAATCGATTTCATGTGTGCTAACACAATTCAAATCTTTGAGGATCTCGTTGGCTTTTGTCTTTGATTTTGCTAAAATATCTTTTATGTCATCGATGTTGCTTATTATTCCGTACTTGAATTCTGATATAACATTCACCAGAAAATTATCTTTATACGCCATTAAATTCAATGCGGTATTGATAACGGTATCTATAATTTTTTTGTTGTATGCCATCGTCTGTTTGTTGAATATGGAAAATTGTTTTCCATAAATATGCAGTACAGCCGAAAAGTAACAATAAACTCTAGCATCGATTATGTTGACCAACAAGTGTTGATGGTCGAGGCGACCGTACGGATTATGAACCCAAGTGCGATTTTTCACAAATTCTCTAGTAATAGCAACCTCTACTTCATGTCGTTGTTTTGCATTACTCCAATCGACATTAACTCCGGCTATTTGACTGAACAAAAATTGACTTCCGTCTTCCCAGAATGGTTTTAGATATAGAAATTCGGTCGGTGCCAAAGCGACACGGCTCAATAAAATATCTACAAATGTTCTGGAATGGAGTAAAAAAGAAAACATATCTTTGTACACTTTCGGCTTTTTCGAAATAAAATCCATATCAACTGAATTCTCAGGAAGATATTCTTCAGCTATACATTTATCTATGAAAACCGAAACGCCAGAATTCAGTTGATCGTCCTCAAATGGATTTTTCTGGATGAAACGTTTGTTATCTTCGTACTGGCTGATTGCGATAATTTTTAAATAATAACTCCAAAGCCATTTGCCCGTTACTAAATTTCCCCACACTAATAAATGTATTATAAGTCCGGCATCTTCTTTAAGACGTGTTACAGTTTCCTCGGTTTTAATTAAAGTCTCTCCATTTTTTAGCTTAACAAATAATTCCTTCAAGTATAATAAATTAGATTTTACAATCAAACCAAAACCACATTTGATGTCTTCAGCTTTTTTCTCTAATTTATCACGGCATTTTAGTTTTAATTGGTATTTCAAAAAAGTGCCCAAAGCAGGGTTTGCAAGATTTATTATGTCTCTTTGTTTAATACCAATTGACTGTTTGTTAAAGGTTATGAAATTTTTTATGGTAAGTACATAGCGTGGATCATATAATTGAGTCGATGACCGTAAAGGGGTAATCTAAAAAAAAACAACATCAATTTATATAATTATATAAACGAAGTTGGATTTTGACATTTTTATGTTTTTGCTTTGGCATACCACGGAAAAATCGACACCGGTTATCATAACAAAAAATTCAACACCTATTGTTATAAAAATATTGACACCGGTTGTCATAACGGAAAAATCAGCTGATTTATCTGATAAGATAAGTGACATAAGAGTTAAGGGATATGTGTTTAATTTGGAACACAACCGAATATAAAAAACCTAATTATTTTTTCCGCACCACGAATCATGGATATGTTTTAGCATTACGGGTCCGTATAACCATAACGATTTCTAGTATCTAAGGTGGCTAGTATATTAAAACATCAAGTTTCTGGCTTATATTTTAGTGTTCAATATCTGGCTTAAAACAATTCATAAAAATATGACCTCTTAAATTATTGAATTCATTTTAGTTCAGTTCTAGTTTGGACATTGGGAATGCACCCGTGTGGGCGTGGGGATGTTAAAGTTTTTATATGATGTGTTGTTTTCACAACGAACAAACTTGAATGAATGGTTAAACTGATCAAAATAACTAACCAAGTAAATGTTTTGCCAAAATAAATCGATTAAGGTCATTTATTAAAAAACTTCTAAACAACTTTTGGCCAAAACATAAAATTAACCATCACCTACCATTCGAGTACCGTGGTTACCATTGTCACAAACCAAGTGCTTATTTTGGGTTAGCAACGAAAAATATTTTAAATGCTATCAAAGGGGTACGCGGAACGAGACATAAAAATGTATCTCGTGATGTAGCGGACTTGTACGCAAACTGTTAATACTATGCAAAAACCTTAAATAGAGCCAAACTAATCGCCAATTTTTGTTTGAAAACAAATAATAAAATAGTTACTAAAATATTAAGGACAAAAATGTCTCAAGCAATGATTTATCCAATGATTATTGTGATCCAAAATTATGTAAACTAAATTTCTGTATGATGCAGCTGTTATATATAATTTATTTTGATTACATTGTCTGAAAATGTTTTACTACAAATTTTTAGAAACATTTAATTTTTGCAAATAAATAAGTTGAATGAATAATTTAACAAAAAAAAAAATGAATTTCCAAATTTATAATATATTTCATAGTTTTGTGGACGCTTTCCATTTTTATAAAACACCTAAATCATATAAACGTACGAAATAAATTTATAAATACTTGTATGATTGCTATCTACCGTGAAATATAAGATAAACATATTGAAGTGAAAAAATATAAATCACAATAAATGCTTACCTTGTTACGTGATGATTCAATTGTTTTTATATTTGATGTTATAGCAAAACAACATAATAAAAAAGCACAAATGTTGGCAACCATTGTTATTTTTATATTTTAAATTAAACTAAAGAAAAATTCTAGTGTTTTGTATGATATGGTATGACGAATACTAAAACCTTATAATCACAAGATGGTCTCTAAAGATTTTCATTGTGTTAAATTGTAAAAAAGCATAAGTAATCAGATTGATTTTTCAGTTTTATTTGGCAACTCTTGTTCATACAAACGATATTTTTCGGGTTTTCGACGCATATTGATCATACTTCGTCTGAATAATATTTTACATAAATTCCTACCAATCGACTTAAAAAAAAAAATTATAATAAAGTTACTACACTTTCTGTTTTTTGCCTAGAATAAAATCAAACGACGATTCGAATGATGTCAAAGCATTATAAGCACATGTGGAAATTTAAAGGTATGAAAAACATACAAAGCCCGTGATCACAACAGCTAGTATTTTTTTCGTTTATTATTATGGCCATTCACTATAAAATATTTGAAATAAGGTATGCGGTTTGTTTTTAAAGAGTTTTGTACAGGCAGTTATGGGATAAAAGTGGTTTTAATAATATTATGACCATGTTAATTAATTTTACAGTTAATTTGTATAAGTTTTAAGTTTTTTAGTTTAAATTATTTCTTTTCTATGAATAAAATTTATTTTGGCAATACAGCTATATTTTTAGTCTTCAACAAAATTCTATAATTTCGTTAGGATTTTAAATTTAAATTTGTAACTTAGAAAAAAGTTAAAATGTGGTAAAATAATGTGGTTTTAATAATAGTTAAATGTTTTAGGCATATTATAATATACCATGTTATTCTATTATAATATACCCTTCCCCACCATAACACATAATCATGTCAATATATTTATATAATTATAGAAAACCGACTCTAAAAGTAATCAAGTTGGAAGATATGAAATAATGCAAGATGAAATTTTTCACAGAAATATATCGAGATAATTTGTATTTTTATAAATCTGCATTCACAAAAACTAAAATAAGTGCATTTAATAAAATAAAGTATTTCTATATTATAATACAAGCATAATAATAAAGTGAAAACGATTTTCATGTTACACGTTTTATTTAATTTAAACGTTTATGCTTGTAATGTCATTTTATTAGTTTTTAAATTTTGACCATATTAATTAATTTTCCGTTAAATTTCTATTTTTTTAAATTTATTATAACTATATTAAAATAAAGTATTAAATGCATGGTATTATTAATACAAAACATTAATATTTGCTAACATTTTAGGGTAACTCGTAGTTAATATATTACATTGTTTAAACATCATAACACATTATAAATTAATTAAATATTCCAAATTTATTTGTTGACGCATGAAACTAAAAATTGCAATTCTTTTTGATATATTTTCTTTTATTTCCTTATAATTAAATAATGTGTTGTTAATTTATAATTCAATTTTGTTGAGTAGCCAATGATTGAATTACATCTGTGAAATGCAAAAACACTTTATATTTAAACGGCAAGCAGACGCGTTCTAAGTCACTTAAAAACCGTTGAAAATCAACAATGATTCTTGACAAATAGTCGGCAGACAGTTGGCCTTCGTTAATATTGAAACTAAGCAAATCGATTTGGTTTGTGCTAACACAATTCAAATCTTTTAGGATCTCTTTGGCCTTAGTCTTTGATTTTGCTAAAATATATTTTATGTCAGTGCTGTCGCTTATTACTCCATACTTGAATTCTGATATAATATTCAACATAAAATCGTCTTTATACGCCATTAAATCCAATGCTTTTTCGATAACGGTATCTATAAGTTTTTTGTTGTATGCCATCATGTGTTTGTGGAGTATGGAAAATTGTTTTTCATAAATATACAGTAAAACCGAAAAGTAACAATAAAATCTGGCATCGATAATTTTGATTACAAAATGGTGGTGTTCGAGGCGTTCATACGGTTTGGAAATCCAAGTGCGATTTTTCACAAATTCTTTGGTAATAGCCACCTCTAATTCATGTCGTTGTTTCGCATTACTCCAATTGACATCGACTTCTGCAATTTGTCTAAACAAAAATTGACTTCTGTCTTCCCAGAATTGTTTTAGGTATAAAAAGTCGATCGGTGCCAAGACAGAAAAACTGCCGTGTAAAACCTCTGAAACCCAACCCGTTTTGCGTAGTTTGCGGAATAAATTTTGGTATATCTCTGGCTTTTCCGAAACCAAATCAGACTCCATTGCAGTCTTAGGAAGGTATTTTTCAGCGATACATTTTTCGATGAAACTTGAAACTCCAGTTTGCAATTGTTGCTCTTCGAATGGGTTTTCCTGGATGAAACGTTTGTTATCTTCGTATTGGCTGATTGCTATGATTTTCAAATAATAACTCCAAAGCCATTTGCCCGTTTTTAAATTACCCCACACTAAGAAATGTATTACAAGTCCGGCCTCTTTTTTAAGACGTGTGACAGTTTCCTCGTCATTAACGAAAGGCTCTCCATTTTTTAGCTTTACAAATATGTCCTTCAAGTCTAACAATTTTGATTTTGCAATTAAACCAAAACTACATTTTATGTCTTCAGCTTTTCTCTCTAATTTAACACGGCTTTCTAATTTTAATTGGTAATTTGAAAAAGTTCCCAAAGCAGAGTTTGACAAATTGATCACGTCTGTTCTTTTAATACGTATTGACTGTTTGTTAAAGGTTATCAATTTATTTACGGTAAGTACAAAGCATTCATCTGTTAATTGAGTGGATAACCGTAATGGAGTAATCTAAAAAAAAAACATAAATGTATTTAATTATATAAACCAAGTTGGTTTTTTTGTTTGAAATCAGATAATAATAGTTATTAAAGTATTAAGAACAAAGATGTCTCAGACAATGATTTATCTAATGATTATTGAGCTTCCAATTAATGTAAATTATATTTTTGGATGATGCAGCTGCTACTATTATAATTTATTTTGATTATATTGCCTGAAAATGTTTTAATTTTGACTACAAATTAAAAGAAATATTTCATTTTAATGTATAATTTAACAAAAAAATCAGCACAGTGGGGTCGGGGCATAGTGACGACAGATTATAGTGGGGTCGGAAGATAGTGGCGACGGGGAGGTCACAGGCTTAAAAGAAATTTTAAATCCGAAAGTAATAAAATTACTTTTGAAAAAACGCTTCGATGCAAAACAGTAGTTAGTATTTTCAAGCCAGTAAGTCCAAACCAAGCACAGTGTAAGCCAGCAAAGTTAGAAAATATTAAATTGAGGTGCTGTATTTACAAATATGCATCAAAGCTTTATTTGAAAGTGATATTATTCAATTCTATTACTTTTATTTATAATAATTCCTGTAGACCTGTGACCTCTCCGTCCCCTCGTTGTTTTTATTCCCTTATGCCTATACTCTACTGCACTAGTCCTCTCGGATAAAATAACTTCCAAATAAACGCTTTGATGCTTTGTAAATAAAGCACCTCAATTTAATGTTTTTTAATTTTAATTTTTAATTAATATTATAATATATATTAAATTGGAAATAGTAATAAAATAATGAAATATTTTATACTAAATCAGAGCTACAAGTTGATAAACTAAAAAGTTAAAAATAGCACGAAGCAGATTATCTAATATTGGATAATTTAAACAATCAAGCGTGAATCTCTTTAAATGGGTAACAGTATAACAATATGCATAACATTAGTGTTCCTTTAAACAAATTGTGGAATAGGAAATTTATTTTGGGATGGTAGACTATATAAAAACCAACACTTAATCTGGCTCCAATAAAGAACTGTCCTAATCATAATTTGCAGGTAGTTGGACATAGTTGACCTTCGGTACGGAGGTACGATTTTAACTTTCAAAGATGTAAACTTTTTCAACTTTTGCCCCTCCCCCAAAGTACCAACTAGATAAAATTTGTGATTTATAAAGTTGCTACTCGAAGAAATTGGTCCAGTATTAAAAAAGTTAAAGAGTATCAAGATAAAAAAAGCCCACATCAGAAGAGAACCAATACCTTCGCTGCCCTGCATGGAAGCTAAAAAAATTAGTTTATAAATTATTTATATAATATATTATGATAGTGTTGTAGACACTTTTCATTTTTATAAATCAAGTCAAACATACTAACGTAAGAAATAATTTTAAAAATATTTATATGAATGCTATCTACCGTAATATAAAAGATTCAAATAAAATATAAATATTTCAAAATAAAAGCATACCTGGTTACGGGTTGATTCAATTGTTTTTATATTCGACGTTATAGCAAAACAACTTAACATAAACGTGCAAATGTTGGCCATCATTGTTATTTTTTATATTTTTAATTATATTAAAGTTAAATTCAAGTCATTCGTATGATATGGTATAACGAATACTAATCCCTTATACTCGCAAGTCGGTATCTAAAGATGTTCATTGTGTTAAATTGTAAAAAAAAATAAGTAAACCGTATTATTTTTCAGTTTTATTTGACGAGTCTTGTTCAAAGAAACGATATTTTTCGGTTTGTCAGCGTATATTGTACATACTTCGTCTAAATAATAACTTACATAAATTTCTACCAATTCGACTTTTTATAAAAAAAATTATAGATAATAAAGCCTCTTCGCATTAACATTTTTGTTGGTCAACCGATATTTATGAACATGTAATATTTGATTGGACTATTTTATAATGATTATTATAAAAATAGTACTTTATATTCGATTAATAAAATCCCTGTTATATCTTTGTAAGTAAAAAAGCTAGAACAATGGATTCGGGACATAGTGGAAATTTAGCAAAACGATTCGAATGACGTCAAAGCATTATAAAAGCATGTCGAAATATAATGTTAGAAAAGACATACGAAACCCGTGATCACAACAGCTAGTATTTTTAACATTTAATATTTTAAATAAAAGAAGATCATAAATTCCTAATAATGTCTGATAGGCGATAACACCTATATCCAGTCATTATAAAATATGTTTAATAAGAGAAATTGCTTGCGGTCTGTTTTTAAAGGAGTTTTATATAGATAATATTTAAGTAAAAAATGGTGTTAATAAATTTCGACCATATTAATTAATTTTCCTGTTAACTTGTATGAGCTTAATATTTCAAAAAAATTCGTATTTATGTTTGAATTTTCCAATAGACGATATCACCAAAAACTATTAACCAGTCACTATAAAATAATTTCAATTAAAGTAATTGCATGCAGTCTGGTTTCAAGGAGTTTTTTTATAGGCAATACTTTAGAAAATTAAGTTATACAAATTCGGCGATGTTAATTAATTTTTCGTTTAACTAATATCCTTTTAAATTTACTATAACTATACTAAAATAAAGTATTAAATGCATGGTATTATTAATACAAAACATTATTTTTCGATAACATTATACCGTAATTCATAGTTATTATTTTACATTGTTTAAGTATCATAACACATTAGAGATTAATAAAATATTCCAAATTTATTCAATAACAACTGAAACTAAAAATTGCAATTCTTTTGATATATTTCCTTTTATTTTCTTATAGTTTGATAATGTGTTTTAGTTTATAATTCAATTATTTTAGTAGCTGACGATTGAACTACATCTACGAAATGCAAAAACATTTTATATTCAAACGGCAGGCAGAATCTATTTAAGTCACTTAAAAATAGTTTCAAATCATCAATGATTCTTTGCAAATCGTCAGCAGACAGTTGGCCTTCGTTAATGTTGAAACTTTGCCAATCGATTACGTTTGTGCTAACTCCATTCAAATCTTTTAGGATCTCGTTGGCCTTTGTCTTTGATTTTGCTAAAATATATTTTATGTCATTAATGTCGCGTATTATTCCAAATCTGAATTCCGATATAATATTCACCAGAAAATCATCTTTATACGCCATTAAATCCAATGCGTTTGCGATAACGTTATTTATAAGTATTTTGTTGTGTCTTAACGTTTGTTGGTCGAGTATGGAAAATTGTTTTTCATAAATATACAGTAAAACCGAAAAGTAACAATAAAATCTGGCATCGATAATTTTGATTACCAAATGTTGGTGTTCGAGTCGTCCGTACGGATCATGAACCCAAGTGTGATTTTTCACAAATTCTTTAGTTATAGCAACCTCACCATCATGTCGTTGTTTCGCATTACTCCAATCGACATTGACTTCTGGTATTTGTCTAAACAAAAATTGACTTTCGTCGTCCCAGAATGGTTTTAGATATAAAAACTCGGTCGGTGCCAATGGGGCACGTCTATTTAAAATATCTGCAAATTTTCTGGAATGGAGTAATAAAGAAAATATATTTTCGTACACTTTCGGGTTTTTCGATACCAAATCAGATTTTATGGCGGTCTTAGGTAGGTAATTGTCAGTTACACATTTTTTTATGAAATCTATAACGCCAGATTGCAGTTGGTTGTCTTCGAATGGGTTTTCCTGGATGTAACGTTTGTTTTCTTCGTATTGGCTAATTGCAATAATTTTTAAATAATAAATCCAAAGCCATTTGCCCGTTACAAAATTTCCCCACACTAATATATGTATTATAAGTCCGGCTTCTTCTTTAAGACGTGTTACAGAACCCTCGTTGTTAATGAAAGGCTCTCCATTTTTTAGCTTTACAAATAAGTCCTTCAAGTATAATAATTTTGAATTCGCAATTACACAAAAACTACATTTGATGTCTTTAGCTTTTTTCTCTAATTTAACGATGCTTTTTAATTTTAATTCGTAATCCGAATAAGTGCCCGCATTACGGTTTGATAGATTTCTCACGTCGGTTTCATTAATACTAATTGACTTTTTGTTGAATGTTATCAATTCATCTATTGTAAGTAAAAATTGTGGACAATTTGATTGAGTGTATATTCGTAAAGGAGTAATCTATAATAAAACATAATTACAGTATTATAAAAAAGTAAATTTTTCGTTTTTAAACAGATAATCATAGTTATTGAAATATTAACAACAATCTTTTCTGAAACAATACCTATGATTTAATTACTTTATATTGTCTGGATATGTTTAATTGTAAATACAAATAAATAGAAATATTGAATTTGTAAAAATACAAAATAAATATAGTGTATTTTATACATATCTAAAATATTTCTATAATACATTATATATTTTGTAGATGCTTTTCTTTTTTATAAAACATGTTTATCATTTTAACGTAAGAAATAATTATATATATATATATATATATATATTTGTATGACTGCTTCCTACCGTAAAATATAAGACTAAAATTATTTCACTTAAAAAAATATTTTTAAATAAAAGCTTACCTGGTGGTTACGTGTTGATTCGATTGTTGTTATATTTGACGTTATAGCAAAACAACACACCAAAAATGCACAATGGTTGGCAATCATAGTTTTTTTTATATTATTTATACTAAGTAAAATACAAGTCTTTCGTATGATATAGTGTAGTAACAAGTACTAATACATTACACTCGCAAGACATACTACGGTGGATAAAAAAAAAAACAATTGTAAATAATTTCGTTTTATAACTTTTTTTGACAACACTTGTATTTACAAATGATATTTTTCGGTTAGACACCGTATATTGATCGTACATAAAATCCCTGTTAATAGTAAAAAAGCCTGTAAAATAGATTTGGCATATTGTGGACATTTTGCAAAACAAATACACTTTCGGTTTTTTGTCTAGGTTTTAATCAAACAACGGTTCGAATGACGTCAATGCATTTGAACACATATCGAAATAAAAAGATAGGAAAAACATACGAGTCAGCGTTCACAATAGCTAGCGTTTCTATAATTTATTATTTTAAAAGAAGTAGCCAATAAAATTACTTTTTATTTTCAGGTTGTTCGATGGCGACAACATTTACGACCGGTCACAATAAATAAATTTGAATTAAGGGATTGGCAAGTGGTCTGTTTTAAACGATTATTGTATTGAAAGTTATAGGACAAAAAATGGATCATACAAAATTTTGACCATGTTAATTATTTTCTGGTTAATTTCTATAAGTTTCCAGATATTTATTTTTAATTTAAATAATTTTTTCTATGAATAAAATTCATTATGGAAATTACACAAAAACATTATTTTTAGCCTTGAACACTTTAATAGTGTGTATTTATATTGTGAAATTGTCCTATGTATTTGTGTATTGATTAGTATGCTGTGTCGTTTCGCAACCCGTACAGTGGGCAGCTCGCTTGGTATTAAATAAAAGTGGTTTCTCTCTCTCTAATTTCCTTAGTAGGCCAGACAATAAAGAAAACAATTTGGCAAATAGCGGAACGAAGTCCCAACCAAAATTTTTTTTTTTAAGTTCTATTGATGTATGTGTTTTAATATATATTTAAAAGGTTTAAGTACAATAATCTCTTTTCTTCGCACAATGAAATAGCAACAAATTGAATTTAAAGTTTTCTATCTATATGTGGAGCACCACAGAACGACATATCTATAAACAAACATAGATATAATACTTTTGTAAAATGAGTTACAAAAAATAATATAAATTTGGCGTTACTTCCTCCTACTGATGAAGCAATTACTTAGCATTCTTATAACGCCAATATATAGCAAATAATATTTTAAAAAATAATTTATAATTAGTCGCAATTGTTTTAAATAATATTTCTATGTCATAATTACAGTAGGATAAATTATAAATGTATACAACTAACAATGATATTATATGCTTATCAAGTTCGTTGTAAACGTGTAATATAATACCTAACACAAAGCTGTATTTCGTACAGCTATAATTTTTAAGAATATCCAAATTGACCGCATGTAAAAGATGTATGTATATTGTATAATAAACAAAATTATTGTTTATTATAAAAAAAAATACGAAAACAAATTTGTGACTTTTACAAAATGGGACGTTTAGTATATTAAAGTAAATATTATATGAATACAACTTTACAAAAAAAAATGTTGGTTGGGAATATTTCCGCTATATTTCCTTTATTGACTGGCCTAAAGGATTTTAATTTTTATAAATTTAAAATGACCACAACTTTTTGTTAGAATAATCGGTTCTAGAGTTTTAATAATAACTGAATGTTTGTTAACGGTTTTTAAGCATAATTCCCAAATAGGAACTAACCATAAACATTAACTAAGTAAGATTTTTCATTTAATTATCAATTAATAATAATAATTATTCGATTGTTAACCAAAAAAAAGTAACTTCACTTACTGGAGCACTAAAATTCTAATTTTGTGTTTTGATTTCAAATAAAGCTTAGTTACAGTATAATAAATTTGTTAACATGTATTATTATAAAATACCCCACTGTCAAACATATTCGTGTCAACATTTTCCAAGAAATCTATTGCAAACATTTGTATTTTTATAAATCTGCAT